CAATCATCTACATCCTACTTCGGATGGAGAATAGATGAAGGATTGAAGTACTTGAGGATGGGAAGGCATTGCCCTTTATGTACCCTCGATTTTTCCTTGGCACGCTAATTCAGCGAACCAATCATTGGCGACTATTTTGTTTGCTATTTGTTTTTTGTTCATCTGCTTGATTTTATATGCGATTATCTGTGTATTTAGAGCTTCTTTTCTCCGGGGCTCCCAGCTCGTGCGAGGGGGGGTGTTAGTACCCATCGGGTCACGTGTCTGACCGCCCTCGCTTTCTGCCCGGTAGTTTATATAGTTAGCTCAGCCGATAGGCCATAAACCAATCAACCATTCACCACACACCAAAAGGAGATGGAGTGCACGTGATTCCGGTCTCCACACTGTATATAGCCCTATTTATGAACGAAATAACTGTCGAAGAACGTGAAACATATAACTATACTGCTTAAAAATGTGCCTTTGTGCTTCACAAATTATACATCACCTCTTTCATTATTTAATCCATTTCAGCCCTCGTTTCTATATCATGTGACCGCGGCTTTGACATCAGTGTCAGGCATCGGAGAACTGGTCTCGATCTCACTGGATCTTTCAATCACATTGCCCCAGGAGAATAGCCAGGGTATGTGTTACACTTATATAAAATTGCATAGGCAAATTACTCATTGCGCATTAGGATCTATCAAATTGACCAATGAGAGCTGGTTTACCCGTCCACTTACTTATTCCGTGTCTCCTCTTCTTGACTGCCAAGACTCCAGTCCAATGCTTTTGATCTGGGAAGAGGACCAGTCTCCATTACCAGCGCGAGGTGATGGGTTCTGCTCCCCTTTCTCCATATAAGCATAGTGGCTCAGAGCAAATGGAGCGCGTCTACGAGACCCTCAGCTATACCGGAAGTGAAATAGAGTCACTGGCGAATAATTTCTTGGATGTGATTGATAAGTTGAGGGGGAAGGTTGAAGATGAGATTTGGTTTTAGTTATGAATGCAGGGTAGGAGCTTGATGTGAACCTTGCCATGCACATACAGAACAAGAATACGTGGATATTGTCAACATAAAATAGGAAATCAAGGAAACGAATAGTTCCTACGACCTTTGATCAATCTCTCTGGGCAAGCGAGAAGATCAACATAGTCGAAATAGCCTTGCCGAATTATGGCGCAGCAAGGCGAATTTCGGACTCAGAAAGCGTGGCCAATTGCTCTTGTTACTTCGTTCACATAGACTTAGGATATCCTTCTCAGCTATAATAATATACGATGCTACTCCTGCCAAGGCATCAAAAGAAATTATTTGGTTTGTCTGATTGAAAGTTAAGCACCAGTTTTATCATGCCCGGTACATAAAGTTCTACCCGGAACTCCAAGTAACGCCATGTATCCTGTTAAACAGAAGTATAAGAACGAAGAAATGAATACCCAGCCTCAACTGTCTCCATTGCCTGACGATGATTATCAAACCTTGGATAGAGATCAAACAAATGCACCGCGTCATCGACGATTCTAAGTTCTCCTTCAACCCCATTCCCTATCAACGCTTCATACGTCCTCTGCACCTGCTGCCACGGGATTAGATCGTCCTGTCTCGGATGAATAATAAAGGTCGGTGTGCGATATTTCCCGCCACGAATCTGGGCCAACGGACTAATCGATTGAATTTGTTCGAGTGTTGGGCGTGGGAGAATCGACTTTCCGTCCCGAGCCTTGCTCTTATCCTTGAGCCCATGGATAAGGATGGGCAGGGTCTGCCCGTGCCAATTCATATGTAGGGCAATTCGAGACCGAGCATCACTTTTCGACATCCAACCGCCGGCTGCCTGCGTCGATGGAGGGGGGTTGTAAGCCACGATGGGAGTGTCAGAAACACCATCCCACAGATTGTAATCACCGGTCGTGGCCTCATCAAACGGTAGATTGGAATGGAACCAAAATGGATCTTCGTAGTCGGTTGGGCAGTAAAATGCCAGGATAGCAGATGGCGGTGCGATCCCCGCGGCAGGTGCTGTCCAACCAAGCGTCATGGCCAGATGGCCTCCAGTAGACCAGCCGACGGCGACGACCTTGTCTCCAGCGAAGCGGATGTCGGGCCGTCGGAGAGAAAGCGACGGAAGTACGGTTCTGACCCACTGTAGTGCATCACGCACGTCTGTCATCGGGCCCTCGAGAATCGAGGTCTCGGGGCAGAGACGGTAATCAATACTAATCGGAAGAAAACCGGCATCGAGTAAGATCTGCGTTTGATTGGGGCGAACGTCTTTCCGGGAGAGCATAACGTGGCCTCCGCCGTGGATCATCAGGGCTAGTAGAAAAGCACCATCAGCCTATGGTTGACGATAAACATTAGAGACGAGTCTCACCGATGGGACGAGCACTGCCATTTTGGATGGGTTGTGGATAGTGGATGTCCGCTTGCAAGGGCAGGGAATCGGCATGTTTGAAAATGACTGTCTCTTGCGTTACGGGAGACTGGCTGGCGTTGGCTTCTTCTCGAGCCTCGTCTGATGCCGAAGCCACGATCAGCCGGAGAATGTTAGATTCTTCTTTCTCGCCAGTGGACCACTTGACCCAGCGGTATCCCGACTCCAGAAGATTCTTCTCCCACAAACCCTCTGATGCGAGGGCATGTTGGCGACCATCGTCAAACATCCACCAGCCCTCGAGAAGGCCAAACACTAGATCAAACCAGAAAAGGTTCTGCGTCAACTCCAACAGACAGAGGATGCCATCCCTGCGCAGCATGCGACGAATGTTGGTACAAGAGTGAACAAGATTCCTCGTGGCATGGATGCAGTTGGTTGAGATCACCACGTCGTACTGTTCCAGTAAATGCCCGGGGGGTTCTTGCTCAATATCCAGCACAGCATACTGCATAAAGTCATACCTGGCAAATTTCCTTTTTGCCGCGGCCACCAGAGATGGCGAGAGATCTGTAAAGGTATACTGGAACTTGCGATGAGAAGCCGTGAGTTTCTGAATGAGATAGCTTGACGTGCCACCGGTTCCAGCCCCGAGTTCCAACACTCGGATCTCTCGATTGCCTTCAAAGTGGCCAAAGACGTCAACTAGGAAGCGGGAGAGAAACAACGTGCCCGCCTTGAACATGGGGGCATTGGTATAGACGTCCTCTAGCAGCCCACGAGCTTTGGCATTTCCAAATAGCAAAGACAAAGAATCTGTACTTCCTGTCAGGCAGTCAGAGAGATGAGGACCCGTGGTGTGCAGTAGTTTATGCTCGGAAACATGCTGGGGGAATTGGTCGACAATGGCGTTGTGCAGTTCCTGTGCTGATGCACGGGGCAGTGATTCATCAGTCCGGACAAACCCCCCTTTATGCGAACGGACAATTCCTGCAACTTGAATAATATGATAGATCTGATCCATAACCTTCTGATGCTTTGGGCTGAAGGCGATTTTCTCCAGAGGTGCACCCGCACGTAACGTGTCAAGGTCACATCCCAGAGCGGCGAATGCCTCAACGATATACGCCACGACCAGCTCTGATTGAAGAGGAAAGACGGCCTCGCGGAATCGACTCAATCTGGCTTCTTCAACGACAGTATCGTACACGTGGCCGTTATTTGTCATATAGTTACTACTGATCGATGCCAGCCCGTGGTCTATAGTAGTATCTCCTGGCGGCACAGCCATATCGTCTGGTTCATCGACAGGACCGGAAACCAGAGGCTGCAGCCTTTCAGACAGAGATTGGACATCATCCAGATCCTGCAGATCATTAACGGAGAGGTTGACCTTGAATCGTGTGTTGATTTCGCTAGCAATTTCGGTGACCATTAACGAATCGACACCCAGGTCAATGAGGGAAGAATGTGGCTGGACCTCCTCGATGCCGACTCCAAGAACCTCACTGAGCATCTCCTGGACGAATGGGAGGACACTAACCGTTCCATTTACCTTTGGTTCTATTGGAAGGACATCTTGGATGTTCGACGATATACCACTGCTCTTTGGCTGCTCAGCTTCTTCTGCTGGTGCTGGACGGACAGGAAGAGACACCGGGCTGTGGTTTAGCTTGGACAGGACCTTGTGCAACGAACTCAGCGATACAGAGGTGAATTCTGCACCCATTAGCATGAGAACGACGTCGCCCGATGTTGGATCCAAGACTACAATATCGTTCGCAACGGTGCCCATCCCTGTGATTTCGACATTTGAATAGACCGTCCACGACCGAGCATCAGGAGAATCGTTCCCAATTATTGCACCCCACGTGACTTCGCCAATTTTGGTACAGATGAAAACCTCATCCGCTTTGCAATCCTTCAGACAATTGACATGAATACCTGCGACCTGCAAGAAGTTATCGACTGCCACCGGGTCCGAGGCGCCAGCGGGCAGATTGGAAGGTCGAGGAGGAAGAACGACATCTCCCACGACCTCGGACTCATACGCGACGACATTGCGCACTCCCTGGTAATATTTTGCGTAGTTGACGGTCTGTCCGAAGATTTTATAGATCACGTCCCCGGACAGTCTGTTGGCCTCGGGGGAGCTCACAATCTGGCTGTATCGCGAGCGTCCCAGCAATCGTCGCATTGTCTGAAATCGTGCAGCTATACTACACTTATCCAATAAGGATACCGTGCCATTGGCATGAACGGTCTGTGACTGATCATTAAATTGTGTGGAGAGTGAGAAGGCCCATTGGCTGTCTGCACTCTTGGACAATGACAGAAGCAGTCTTCCAGCTGGAGTCAATGGAAGAGGCGAAAGAATGCGCAAATCTAAGATATGAGGGACGGTTGTATAGCCATTGGCCAATAACTCTGCAGCTCGAATCACTAGCTCAAAATACAGCGACGCTGGACACAGACTCTGGCCAAGTACCGCATGGCCGCTGACACAGAGCAAGAAGACATCGTGGGAGGTGTTAATGGAAAATAAAGCTTGTGCGTTGGTATTCTGCACGACGTGCACAAGTCCTGTGGGCTTGCTTTCTGTTGGGCCGCTTGTATCATTTTCCTGGATACCGGAAAAAGGGTTGTATTCGATCCAGTGCCTGTTTTTGGCAAATTGATACGAGGGCAAGTCAAGCCAGCCATTTCCGCCTCGCTGCGATGTATGGAATGGCCAGAAGTGCGATTTCGATCCAGCTTCCCACAGCTTTGAAGTAATCTGGGCAAGACCATTCCATGCGCTGCGGCCCAGATTGACCGGAAGGAAGAGATCGCGACGGGAGTCGGGTAACACACGACGAAGCATTGGCATGATGGGCGACGCAGATCCGGCCTCGAGCCAGACAGCAGAGTTATGTCGAGCAGCAATTCTCTGAACAGCATCGACGAAATAAACAGGTTGGCGCGTGTGTTGCACAATCTTGTCTGCAGTTATCTCTGGCCAGGCCTCATGGGGAGAGCATGTTTCAACAGGGATGATCGGCTGTCTCCATGAGATGGCCTTTGCCACTGCCCAGAGGCTGGAAAGGATAGGATCGGTGAGCGTGGAATGATACGCGTGACTGTTTTTCAATCTTGCTATTTTCACATCTGCTGCCCCCGTGCGGCAGACCGTTTCGACTGCTTTGATGGAGTCACCATCACCGGCAAGGATGATATGACGGGGACTGTTGTAGCAGGCTATGTCGACCGTACTGGATGGATATAATTTCCTGGTCTCATCAAGGAGATCGTTGACCTGATCGCGACTTCCTTCAACCGACAACATGACACCCGGATCTGCTCCCCATAGCTTCTGGATGAACCGGGCACGATCCGTGACGAGACGAATTCCGTCTCGCAGATCAAGACTATCGGCGACACAAAGTGCAGTCAACTGTCCAAAGCTGTGTCCAACAAGTGTCGTGACCTCTAGACCTGCATCTAGCCATGCTTTGGCGCTGGCATACTGGATCGAGAAGAGCATCGCGTGGAGAGTGACCAGATCCTCGACGGGGGCAGGATCAAAGATACGGGGAAACAGACCGGGTAGCCCCAGTAAACGACAGACAGAGTCGCACTGGCTCAGATGGCTGTGAAGCAATGCTGAATTTTCAACCAGATCCTCGGAAAGACTGATGGTATGACCTGTTTGACCTCCAAAGCATAACACGACAGGGGGTTTCTCAGATGCGCTCGAGATGTGAGAACCCGACGCGATGGTATCTAATTGCTTCAACAGGCCGAGAGAGATGGCACAGTCGATGTATGAATAAATTCTAGCTCTCGGTTTTGCTTGCGAGCCAAATTCCACGCAATATCAGCCAGCTCTACATCGGGTGTCCGGGCAATGTATGCTTGCAACGCTGTACTATATGCGATCAGGCTTTCCGTTGTCTTGGCCGAGATAAAGATGGGATACTCCAGACTATTTGCTGATGTCGTGGTAGTTACCTGTCTCTGGCTATTGGATGGAATGTATTTCTGCAACACGATGGCTGCATTGCTCCCCGCCGCTCCATAGTTGTTCACCAAAGCCGTCTGCCTTGACGAGTGCCACGGCTGCGATTTCTGTGGAATGGCCATGCGATCTGGCTCTAGCGCTGGAATCCTCGGATTTAACTGGATGAAGTTGGTCTGTTTGGGGATGATGCCGTGCTGCATCATAAGAAGCGCTTTAATACATCCAGCTACCCCCGATGCTGCCTCTGTATGGCCGACGACGTCTTTGACTGAGCCGATAAATAACTCTTGGGCACGGCGAGGATCTCCAAAGACACGACGGATACTGTCACATTCAATGGGGTCACCTACAGGGGTTCCTTCTGTCCGTTAGTATTTTCGCATTTCTTCTTAAAGTCAGACTTACCCGTGCCATGTGCTTCGACAAAAGATACCTCGCTCGGGTGCACATCACCAACGGCTAACGCTTGCTCGTACAGACTACTTTGTGACCGTGAGTCCGGAACGGTTATGGGATTGCAATTCGAGCCCTGATTGACGGCGGATCCAGAGATTGTCCCAAGGATGGGGTCATTTTCCGCAATGGCACGGGCCAAGGGCTTTAGAACAAGGACACCAGCGCCTTCACCACGACAGTATCCGTCACCCCGAGCATCAAATGCTTTTGATGCGCCGGTAGGACTCAAAAACGAGGCAGCCGCGAGGTTCTGGTAGAGAGCCGGACTGGTGATCACATTTACTCCTCCTGCAAGAGCAACGGAACATTCATTGGATTGAAGGGACTGCCCTGTCAGCATATTTACTATCTCCAGACATGAGGATAGACTTACCTTGCACGCATAGTGAATGGCTACAGCAGACGACGAGCAAGCGGTATCGAATGTCACAGACGGCCCCGTCCAGCCAAAATAATGACTGACCTTTCCGCTAATAAACGCTCTCAGCGTCCCTGTGGCTGAAAATGCAGTTGCATTCTCGGAGGCTATGTTGGACTCGTAGTCCACCGTTCCGACGCCAATATAGCAACCGATATTATTGGTCTGGCATTGAGATTGTGTACTGTATCCAGAAGTCTCCATGGCCTCATATGCAACCTGTAAAAGGAGTCGCTGCTGTGGATCCATGGACGCAGCTTCACGTCCAGAGATCTTGAAAAACCGGTGATCAAATGCATCAGGATCTCTGAGGAAATTCCCCCAGAATGGACCTTTGGGGTCTCGCCATAGATCTTCCGAGTTGAACCGATTCTTTGGCAGTGGGCTGACCGCGTTTCTACCCGAGGTGATGAGGTTCCAGAATTCCTCCACCGAATCTGCCTGGGGATAGCGACAGGCCATCCCAATTACCGCAATGGCTCCTGATGCACTTGGGGTTGTCCAGCTCAGGTCACTGGGAGTTTCAAGGCCGGAGGGTAGACTGGGAGAGTTGCTGAGATTTTCATTTGTCGATTCCATCTGGAGTGAGGCGTCTCCATTCCGTAATTCCTTTCTCTTGATGGAGGGAGGTACTGCCCCTAGGCCGCCGACAGAAACAATTTCAACCTCTTGTCCTTGGGCTGATAGGGCTGCCTGCACGGTTTGAAACCATTCACATTTCTGACTGAGAATAGACTCCAATATAATATCATGCAATTTACCATGAGAAACGACAGCAGTGTCTGCATTTGACCGAATCTGCAAATTCAACCCGTCTGCTGAAAGCAGCTGAAAGGCCGGATTTTCCTTGCACAGCGATTTCAGTTGCTGTACAATATTCTCGCGCCCTAGCAAATGATATCGCCCACACAAACCAACTGGCTTGGCGGAAAGCCCACCGTTCGACAGCTGCAGGGAGAAGGCAGCGAATTGCTCAAGTGGGATGGTAACTGTGACTCTATCTTGGTCCGTAACGCAGGAGATATAAGCCTGGAGAGTTAATATCCTTCCACATAATACCAGTTGGCAGGAAAACATACCTTAGGGAAAGATGTCAGTGCCTTCTCGAAATGCGTCTTTTCCGCCATCGATGTCCAATGAACAGAGTATGCGAAGCTTCTATCCTGTGGATCTAAGGTGACTTTATCGAGATCAATTGCTGCTCCAATACAAACAGCGAGTCGAACCGCTGCCGCCGCCAACTGCTGCAGCTCGGTCTCATTTTGGGCGCTGGCGACAACGGCAGCTGCCAGGAAACCCACGCAGAAGCCCTGGGTATTACCAGTGCGGCCCAGGCGCAAGTATTCAGTCACTTGGGCCAGCACGGTCAAGGGAGCCAAGATGATGTTGTTTGGGGGCTCGACCTGCGGCAATTCACCAGTCTCGAAGAAATTCTCCAATTGCTGCAACTGCTCTTGCCCAGGGAGATGTCGCAGTGGATCACAGGACTCACGGATCAAAGGCCATAACGAAGGTAGTTCCTTGACCACGTCGAGTAGGAATGAAAAGTTGGGATCATTGATGATCGCCCGCAGCTCCGCCAAATGACCGGGAAGGAGACGAGTAATTTGTGGTCCAAAGAGGATGAGAGTGTTGGGGGTTGTGGCAGGCATGATGAGGTTGTTGAATTTTCGAAGTATATTGACACGATGCATTCCGATCGAGTTTATATACCACCATCAATTGGCGATTATTGGCCAATTCTAGTTTGACTGCTTTCCCTGACTAGCGGCTCTTGCATATTTTCATACGATAATAATATTTTATTATTTCATCTTATTTCCATTTCTAAAAGTCTCCTCGGTGGATAGCTTTAATAAATTTACCGCGGCCAATTTATTCGCGTCAAAACAAATGACCGAAAAAAAAAAATATTCGGACTACAGATCAAGTAATATATTAATAAAGATATATTCCGTAATTACTTAGTTATCCTCAATCTTTGGAGTCGATAACCCATAGGAATCAACACAAAATGAACAGCGCTCAATTTGTGCCGGTCTTTGCATCCAAAACCCTAGCAACGAGCATTGTGGTCTCTGTCACTCTTGTGGCCTTTCATCTTATTAAAACCTATTGGAATTTGAGGCAATTTCCTGGGCCTTTCTGGGCACGCATCACTAATCTCCAGCGTGTATTCTGGGTACAAACAGCACGATCCCATGAAATCCACGCAGATCTGCACGCTCGATATGGGGATTACGTCCGAATGGGCCCAAACATGGTGTCCATAGCGAATCCGGATGCCATTCCTAGTGTATACCCCATCAGACCGGGTGTCCCAAAGGTGAATGCTCCACTGGGTGTAAATGGGGTACAGGACACTGACAATAGCCAGGGCAACTTCTATCGTTCTTTGATGCCATATTCTAGGCAAGGGTCGTCACTACCACTAGTATTCAATACAAGAGATGAGAAACTACATATGCATCTCAAGAAGCCCATTGCACCTATCTTCTCCCTGTCAAATGTGCTCACTTTTGAGCGCTTCGTTGACCATGTGTTGGGGCTTCTTTTCACTCAATTCGACGCCCGATTCATTCAACAAAGGGCTACGCTTGATCTAGGGAACTGGCTGCAATTCTTTGCCTTTGAAGTCATGGGGTCGATGACCTTTTCCCGCCAATATGGGTTTATCGAACAGGGACATGATGGGAAGGGGTTGTTGACGGCAATATGGAACTTTATGAAGACCGCTGCTCCGGTTAGTATGCTTGCTCACTTGCGTATAAAGGCCAATTACTGAGAGCCAAGATAACCCAAATCCCCTGGTTTGATTTGATTTGGTATAAAAACCCGATTGTGGCACTATTTCGTCCGACGACTGGACTCCCGATTCTTCAGATCGTCCGAGATAGCATCGATGAGCGGCGTGAGAAACTTGGAAGTAAGAGTTTCACTCTTGACAACCAGGAGATCAATCACGGGGATTTCCTTTCGCGCTTTCTGGATGCCCAGGTGAAGGATTCTTCTGTTCCGCCATGGTAACTCGATCGTCCTCTATAACGTTTTCTATCTCTGACACTCCAGCAACTAGGGCCGTCACGGCATGGACCTTTTCCAACATAATTGCCGGATCTGACTCTACTGCTGTCGTTATGAGGACACTCTGGTACAACCTCTTGAGTCACCCCGAGACACTGCAGCACCTCTATAACGAGCTTATTCAGACCGACGGGATCTCTCGTCCATATCCTTCGTGGAATCAGATCGCAAATCTCCCATATCTTGATGCATGTGTCAACGAAGCCATCCGTCTCCATCCTCCATTCTGCCTTCCCTTTGAACGAGTGGTTCCAGCAGAAGGCATGACCATTAACGGACACGTTCTTCCAGGAAACACAGTGGTGGGGCTGAATCCCTGGGTTATCAATCGGCATCGACCAACATTTGGAGATGATGCAAACGAATGGCGGCCTGGCCGGTGGCTGAAAAGCCGTGAAGAGTACCGGAAGATGGAGCAGAGTGTACTGACGGTGAGTATGATTTCCTTCTCGTAAACATTACGCTGACAACCTAGTTTGGTGCTGGACGACGCATCTGTCTAGGAAAGAATATTGCTTTGTTGGAATTGAAGAAGTTGACATCTGCGCTGGCCCTTAACTATGAGGTTTGAGTTGTTTCGGTTGTCTTGCATTGGATTCATCTGACTCTCATTTTGCAGGTATCAATTTTGGATCCATCTCAGTATCAGGTTGAGAATCGGTGGTTTTTTAGGCAGTGGGGGTTGGAAGTGGCCATTAAAAGGCGAGATTTATAGACATATAGTAATAGGCTATATGACTATTCTACCCATAATGCTATTTTGATGTATCAGCGCCAGTGCTAGTTAGCTGATCAGCCCATTAGTTGAAGGTTGATCATATTAACAAAGTGAAATTGTCGACCCATCACAAATCTGATTATCTGGAAATTGATGATGCCGTTGGCTACAAGCGTAGGACGTACTTAGTTGTCTACTGCTTGATATATGGGTAAGCAATATTTTGGTTCTAGCAAACTAGGAATAACGCGTATCCACCGTCAATCTAAGAGCAACAAATACCATTAATCCAGTACCGAGCAATTTCCAGACACTGGAGAAGACGAACTACCTTTGTCAATAAAAGGTCCTCTCGCCGGGCTGAGTATACCATTCCGCTCTGCCTTGAGGATGGCTTCGTGCCAATGACGAGCCATTATATAGTAGCCATACGCATTGGGATGCGTTCCATCGAGAAGATCATCCGTCTTCACGCCATCCATTGGCGTCAATACGATCTTCCGTCCAGCCTGCACCCTCAACGAAATCAGATCAGGAATCTTTGCATTATACTGATCAATGAAGGAATTGACTGTGGCATTCGCATTCGGTATCAACTGCGCCACGACCAGTAACGTAGCCGGGTTGTGTTCCGTGATGAAGTCCATGAGATGCGCTAATCGAGCAGGGGCATCTGTCACGTTGGCTCCGACGACGAAATTAACCGTTCCCACGTGAATAAGAATGACATTTGGTTGGGAGATGTGTCTTGTCAGCTCCGTCCTAGCGTGGGCGAGGATCTCGTCGGTAGTGTTGAGATTGAAGGCATCGCTTTCGTTGTTATCCCAATTGCCGTTTTTGACAGATCCGATGAGTTCAACTGGGTGTCCATCATTGTGAAGCAGACATTCGATGGCTCGACGGTAGGAGTTACCACTGGGCTCGTTGTAACCGTATGTGATGGAGTCTCCGAGGGGGAGAATGCGAAGGGCAGTTCTGTTGGCCGCAGTGAAGCTACAGAGCAACCCGATAAGAAGGAGGTGAAGGAGCATTTTGGGCTAGTCAGACGGATTAGTTGAAGCCGAACGCTTGAAGATAACGGAATACATATAAAATATGGGAAAATATACAAAATAATCCTTCTGGTTGGCTATTCTAATCGGCATATTTACTCGGTGAGTATCTCGGCGATGAGATGAAAAAAAAAAAAAAAAAAAAAAAGAAAAGAAATTTCCACTATAATTAGCACCGAAAATTGATCCGAATATATTCCGGAATTTGTGGTGGACAGTGGGATATACGCAGTTCAATGCCAACAAGTTCAACCTACTTTATATTTTACCTTAAGTTCCATTAGTAGCGATAGACCATGGGTGACCAAAACTACCACTTACGGCAAAACATAGCGGCCGAATTGCAATGAGCAAGCGGGGGTTCTTAGCAAGATGTTTATTTATGGATTAGCGACTGGTGCTATGGAGTAAAATAGTGGCCATGTAGACTGCTAACGTGCAAATAGTGTTACGACCCGTCGGTACTTTGTTTCTATTTATCCCTCAAGACTTAGCTCGCATGTCTAATGATTATTGATATAAAAAAATAAGAGAAACCTAGTGTAGTAGTAGTTTTTACCATATGTGGAAAAAGAGAGTGCCATCTCCACCTATGTCAACACCATATCTAGTACGACTAACTGTATGTGGCCCTTTGCTACACTGAGGACTTAGTACAGGCAACAGTATGCACAGTATGTCTATTGGTTTTAGCTACTATCCTTGCTATTATTTCTCCTCAGAACATCTTTCATGGCCTGCATTGTGCCTTGGAGATTCCTCAGCAACAACCTTATTTCATCGGTCCCTAGATTCGCCGACAGGCTGTTTCCACTAAAGCACTCCAGCAGCTGTATTGATCTCGTTTCCATTTCATCTCCCGACAATAGTCTACATTCGTCTGTCCGCTGCCAGAGGTATATCAATGCAGACCCTATGCGTTGGAGTGCATTCTGAAACGTCAATCCAATGACAAGGTTCTTCTCTTCGCCCACGAGCTCGTGTCCACCCACGGACACGGGAACGGACGAGGCAGCTGATGAGGAACTTTGACGTGCAGGGGATGGTGACTCGTGAAGACTGCCTTGATGACAGGTATAGAAATTCTGCGCAGAGTAGAGTAGAATCCGGATACTCATGGTGAAAAGAAGGAAGACTTCTTGTTCTTTGGGGTTCTGGCATTGGAGGCAGTGCATCAGGCTGGTCCAGGGCCCTTGGGCTTGTCGGACACTATCGAGGACACTGCTAATGGATAGGCTGGTGTTGTGGGTATACTGGAGGTCCTCGAGACAATAGACTAGTTGAATATGCTGCTGGAGACAGGAACACGGCGGTTGTTCTGGTGGAAAATAATCATGTGTCCTCGGGTCGGTCTCAGTATCTATTCGGGGGGCAGTGTATGGGGGTTCATAATTGGGTGGGTCAATGGAAGACGAGACATCAAGGGTTCCATTGCAATAATTCGCCTTGGAAGCATTCACAGCATCGTCAAAGGGGAACGTCTTGTGTAGAGGTAGAGGAAGAGAAATATGGTCCTAATCAGGTTTGAAATCGAGTCCTAGAACTATCAAGACGGATGGATCTCACCTGTGAAAAAATAGTAGGATCGAGGCCTTTTGCGCTCGTATCCATGAGCGCATTTCCTAAATCTTCAGCACCGAGTGCATTAAAAAGCGAGGATAGCTCCGGGCCGAACGGATGCTCTGAATGCTCGTCCACGAACATTTCCTCTGCCGATGCTCTATCGTAGCTGTTCTCCGAGCGGGGAGACATAGATCGTTGCTGCCGTAGCTGTTGTCGCTGTCGGCGTGGTACTCTTTCTCCATCCCCTGCCCCAGCCTGATTGCTGATGTGATTTTCCTGGAGCAATATCCGCTTATTCTTGCTCCCCTTCGGTCTGCCAAGTCGGTTTCCCACACTGTACGTGCATTGTCCGTGGGACATGGCACACGTCACGCAGGGAAGGCCACCGGAGCATTTAGTCTTCGATTGATGGCACGTATCGCAGGCAGACCGTAGTCGACCTGACTTAGAGGGCCTTCCCCCTCGTTGCACGTCTGGTTGTCCGGTGGACATGGTACCATGGAGGTACATGCTGATTGTGACCAGGCACTGGCAATTAACCAGGGGGGAGGCGACGGTAAAAAAGTGGCCGGAAGATAATAGAGTGAGGCTTAAAGTGGATGACAATAATACTATAATCCGGGGGTCCGCGGACGATAGCACGAATCATTGCTACAAGCTCGTATAGCCAAGAAGGAACAACCTCGGGAGGGAGGACCCCACCCGAGGCTGTACCACTCGATGGAAGGAAAAGAAGTCAGTGGATAATTGACTTTGGGGGTGAAAGGAAAGGAAATCGTGGTGTTTCAGCCTCATCATGATTGATCCTGATTACGAATCCCGCTACAGTTATGATTGAAAGGAATCTAGATCAGCATTGCACGGGTAGGAATGTTGATAAGGCCTATCAGCAGTAGACTCTAGTTGGAGATAAAACATGACTTTTCCTCTCTGGGCTCAGCGCTTGTTTAGACTCCGACCTTTATATTCGGCACGCACCAGCTATATCTAGCTTAGCTATCCGGAAATCCACACTCTCCATCAACTCCCATTTTGCTACTATTTTGTATTCTCTAATCCACCTAGCAAACACCTGGACCGAAAAGAACATCACGCATCCTCATTCCCAGAAGGATCTGAACCCCTGCAGCTGCCGCTCACCCGCATGAAGCCCCACTAAACTGCTTGTATGTATCGACTTAGGTGTGATTGCGTCAGATTATCCTGGTCTGGCGAAGATTTCCCAAAAAGTACGTCGCGGCTGCAATGGCACATGTTCCCAGCAGACATGAAACCCCGCCAAATAGCTGTAGTCCAGAGTAGTCGGTACTTCCTTGACGATTCAAGATGCCTCCCATAATGGGCAGACCAGTTAAACAACTTGTGTTTGATTAGTCTCAGCAGTGTATCTGTCTGCATGGTGGTAGAAAGGGGACCAACCTCACGCCAATTATCATTTGAAAAGTACCGAATCGCGTGCCCAGAGTTTCAAGGCTGCCAGCTTTGGCTACGCATGGCATGAGCAGGCAAACAAAAGCACCGCTAACGAATCCGTAGACCAAGGCAAAGACAATGATGCCAGCATGTGAGGGATGATAGTTAAATGGTAGCCAGAGAGCAAGAATTGAAGCCGATATGCATAAGGAGGAAATGGTGAGCACATTGAAATGACCAATTCGATCTGCTAGATGAGGCGGGAGGATCCGGCCCGGAACCGACGTGGCACTACATTGTTAGTATGAGAGTATCCAGTGGAATAGGAAGAGGGAAATACTTGATGAGTGAGATCAAATATAGCGCGAGCGTTGAAGAAAATCCCGAATTGATGGCCATACTCGAGATATAGTCGAACGGTGCCCATAGTCCCCACCTTCTATCATCAGTATCAGATAGACCCCCAGCTTGACAAGCACTCACATTCCGAGAAATGCCCCCAGGGTATAGAAAGCGAACTGCTTCTCCTTCAGCAGTGACATGTCGAACCATTTGGCCTTGCCATCCCATTTTTTGCGCGGCAGACGTGCCCGCAACAAAAAGCATGAAATAACCAGAGTAACCCCAACAAGCAATGCTGTATACCGTACTGCTCCATAAAAGCCCACATCTGCTATAACTCGATCAAGGAAAATTGGAAATATGACCCCCCCCAGGCTACTTCCAACACTCGCAATTCCTGTTGCTAGTCCTCGCTGTCGAATAAACCATTGGCCCACACAAAGCATAGCCGCAGTAAATACACCACCTGCACCAATGCCAAATCCAAGGCCCTGTGCCAGGAAGACCTGATAATATTCGTCTGCCAGGCTGGTCATGCAGAGTGCAAAGATGCATAAAAGGCTACATGGGTACAACACTGGAGCTGGTCCATAGGTATCGATCAATCGTCCAAACAGAGGACCAGGAATCCACATCAGAGCCAATTGGACTGCGAAGATCCATGAAATATCCGAAGCTGTGTAGTTGGAGAGGGAGTTTTCCTGATAGTAGGTCTGAAAGACACCGATTCTGCTGACATTAGCTCCATGTCCAAAAAGAGGATGCTCATTTAACATACGCATTCAAAAAGCCGAATGAACCAAATAGAGCCAAAAAGGCGCCCACCACAACAAGCCAACCGTGAAGGCCTCCCTCAGGTGGTAACTCTGGTTCAGGCGATGGTTCTTTTTGAGACGTCATCTTGTGTCTATGTCGAATGCTAGAAATATGAAATCCTGTTAAAATTGAACTGGGAGTGCGGTTTTATATCTGCCTGCTTGGGTTTCGCATTTGCAAGTATCCTGTGGCGGTCGCCAAAATGATACCATATACTCCATAAGGTTCATTGAATGCGGCCGCTAAATCTAATCACGACGACCGGCCCCACATGGCGGCGGCCGACAGCCGACAGTCGGCCGCCAGCCCGCCGCTAAGCCTTCCTTGTGGATTTGCAGGGGGATTGGTAATCGACGGGTCGGTAATCGACGGATTGGTAATCGCTGCCTGAAGCCTACCTTACTCCAGCAGGCGTGGACTAATCTGGAATTTCCGTCTCACACAGTCCAAGACAGTACAGCGTCTTGAAAAATCCCACAAAACAATATCAATATGGACCCACCGGAGCAACATGCACCGCTGGTGTGTGTGAATTGTAAGGCGCGTAAGAAAAAGTGCAATAAAGTGCTACCATCCTGTGGTTACTGCATTCAGTAAGTCAGACTAGATGGCCAGAAGTATCATATCATGTATGGAGTACTAGTATGGAGTAGCTAATCTTCAAATCAGAAAAGCACTGGACTGCCGATATGTTTCACATCCACCCAAAGTGCCTTCTCCCGGCCACACTACTGCATCGCCGGGAAAAGGTGTCGGGCTCGAATGCATCCATCCTCTGACTCGTTCTTCATTCCTGCTCATGGACTCGGTCTCCAGTTCATCACCGTCGGAGGTGGTTCCTTTGGAGCCGCTGATGGACCCGACAGCCATTGACATGACCCTGTATCTGCAAGCCCGTCGGGTCATTCAAACCACCGGTCAATTTGTCGACGATATCAGCGTGCGTTATTTTCAGGGAATCCATCGCCATCTGCCAATCATCTCACGCAAACATTTTCATGATCAACTCATTCATATTGGCGCTTCCCCTCCACCGGGCTTTTCTATCCTCCTGCTGAGTATCTGCTTGCTGACATACCACCCAAAATTGTTGCCTCAAACTCCACCACCTGTCGGCCGTGAACCCCTTTACCTTTCTGTCAAATCGCTCTTTGCCCAGGTCCAGGCTTTTTTCCCCCCTTCTGTCGATTTCATTCAGGCTGGCGTCCTTCTGGCGTTGTATGAGTATGCCAATGGGAGACCAGATGATGCGTTTCTATCCATCGCTGGCTGCGCACGGATGGGATATGCCTCTGGTCTGCACCGTGGGCGGCCGACAGTCTTTCCAGCATCCGACGACGACGAAGCGGCCAATACGTGGTGGGGGATTGTCATCTGTGAAAGGTACATAACATCTTCGTCACAGAGCCCAACTTAGCTAACCTTTTTTGAGATTATTCTTTTATGAAATATCGACTAAGGATCAGCCTCTTGCAACTGCAATTCCCAGTCATGCGCAACTGCCGACAACAACAGAGCACAATGGTCAAGATGGCACGATACCACCATTGCCAGCCGGCTCAACATCAATCGAAATGACCGGGCTTCAGCACTCTGCCCACGCGGCGTGGCTTTTGGATCAAGTCTTAGAAACCATCAAGTACCCAGAGCTGAATGCTCGATTTTTCCACCTGAACAAACTCGATACTTCACTACAGTCCTTTCTGGTTGTTGTTATGGAGCGGTGCAAGGGTGCCTGGGGTGTATTTTGTGGGGCGATTGCAACGACTATCAGGTAAAGTCCGTCATCTTGTATTTCAATTTCCTTGCTGATTCAATTAGGACTTTGTTCATGCTACACTGGCACATTTTAGGTCAATCCTCCAAACTCAACAATCCCATAGACGAATGGAGGAAAAAGTCTCATGATGCCTTAGATACAGTCACTAAGATGGTTGTTGACATTGCCGATTCACATGAGAATATGGCTCCGCACTTGATCGATTCATTGCCTCCAAGCTGTGTCTATATCATTCAAGCGGCATTAAAGCATATCAATGATAGCCCAGGTTTGAATAACAACCTTGGGTTTCAAGAGATAGTCAAGCGATTGAAATTGTCTTTGAACCAGTTCAATCATCGTTGGGGGGTTAATCATTTGTGAACTTCCTTGGTATGATTTGATGATTAGTATAATTATGACCTAATAAATGATTGAGTATCCATTCCTATCACTTGCTTTGGTAAGAGCGGAAAGGAGAAGTCACCCCTGTGTTGTACCTAACTACCTATACTAGACGCGCTGGCTGGCATTCTCACGCTTTTAGTCTCCCTGGGTGTGGATGGCCGAGTCGACAGACAGTCACAGTAGACCCACTTCTACTATACATGGGCGGCCTCAAGGGCTACATTCGCTCAGCAGTTTCAGATGGAACTGGTGCTCTGATAGCGTACAAACAAAAGCCTCTTTGGGGTGGCTTCTCGAAGGCCTACCACTACATCAAGCTGGCTAATTCGGTAGTATCAATCCATGAAATTCCGTAGCGCATCCAGGAATCAGCATCACAAATCCTCTACAACTCTATGTGTGGTGAGGTGTAAACTATCACATCATCCAAGTGGAGTGCTGCATAAAAGAAGTCTCCGAATGCATGTTCAGCCTGGAAATAAACCGAATGGTAATTATGTGCTTCGGTGGTGAGGTTGAATTTTGCAAGCTAGGTGCGTCACACTCACAATCTTGTTCGATAACGACTTTCATTGCTTTTTTGTTTACTGGTTGAAGGTAATTTGTCGCTTACTTTTGTCAGAATCCAGATGATGCCACATGAAATAGCTGCCTTGTTGGGCGCAATATAAAGTTGTCACACATTTATTTATATATATATTTTAAGACATAGTTGGAGCGTCCCAAGTATCTACCTCATAGCATACTGCTGGGGAAGGAGGAATAAGCTAGTGAATTGATCCGGAAGCTCTATCTATGTTGGTTGATCAAGGAACGTTGAAATAATGACCGAGTAAGGCCGCAGCTACGGATTGGCGATTATCTTTTGTAGTGAAAATACATGCCATACAATCGGAGACTATTTCAGCCACAGTATTCATATCAAACATTCACCACCACACTAGATGGAAGAGTAACTGTACAAACCAGCAAAGTGTCCAAAATGCCTTTGAACATCATTATTGTCGGCGCTGGAATTGGCGGTCTCTGCACAGCCGTGGCACTGCAGCAAGCCGGCCACTCCGTCAAGGTAGGATCACCCCAGCAACGAAAGGAAGACCATTGACAAATAAGGCAGGTTTTTGAGAAATCCCAATTCATCGGCGAGGTTGGCGCCGCGCTTCTTCTCACCCCGAATGGCGAACGAGTACTGTCACACCTCGGGTTTGATTTCGCGCGTGCGCGTGCGAACGAGATGACATGTTGGGAGGTTCTGGATGGAGTTACCCTTGATCCCATTGCGAGGACAGACCTGAGTAACTCACAAGAACAGTTTGGGGCTCCGCTGCATACGGTGCATCGGGCAGATTTGCATCGTGAGCTGGTTCGATTGGCGTCGATGCACGGAAATAAGCCGGCCGTGCAGCTGGCGGCGAGAGTTGTCAGCTCCAGTGCAGAGGAAGGGTTTATTGAGTTGGACGATGGCACGAGACATTATGCAGATTTGATTGTTGCGGGGGATGGAGTGCATTCGGTGTTGAGGAGTGTAGTGACGGGCGAAGATCAACCACAACGAGCAACGGGAATGAGTGCGTTTCGATTTTTGATTCCGACGGCGAGATTAGAGAACAATCTGCATTTTATAGAACTGTTAAAAGTGAAGGGCAGAGGGTCCACGGTCTTTGCCGACACGACACAGGAGAGCGAACGGCATTTGGTGTGGTATGATTGTCAAGAGTATGTGTGATGTTATATTCTTTACGACTGGGACATAACTGAGGGAAGCAGTGGCCTGATGCAGAACTTCGTGGGGATCCATGCCACACGGCCAGAGGAAGAGGATCTCAAAGCCCTTATGACGACGGAATTCAGGCATTTCCATCCGAGTCTAGTTCATATTATCAGGTACGATACGTCTGCTCTTGAGAGGACAATGGCTGACGTTAAAGTGTTGCTCCGGATGTCACCGACTGGCCGCTGTCCATCCGCGATCCTCTACCTCGCTGGCACCGAGGCAAAATTGTCTTGATTGGGGATTCTGCTCATGCGGTAGGTAAGATAATGTCTTCTAGTCCATATACTGACAGAATAGATGCTCCCCTTTGGAGGACAGGGGGCCAACCAGGCAATTGAAGATGCCGGGGCTTTGGGAGCTCTTCTACAAGGCGCCTCAGCAGACGATATTCCTCACTGCCTCAATCAGTTCGAAGAAGTACGAAGATTGCGTGCTTCCCGCGTGCAGATCCTATCTAAAACTCGACTTGGCAAGGAAAAGGATGTGGAAGGTGAACTGCGACACTATGCGGATCCTCCGGGGGCAGGTCTGTTGATATCTATACCTACCATGAAATATTCCTGGCTGATATTCAATGATTTGATAGACGTTCCAACATCATTCTCAGAGCGGTGCCAGCATGACTTTCGGTAGGTTCTACAGCAAACCGGCATGAAAGTATCTAATGATGGCAGGTTTGATGTGCTCGAGAGTTGTCGAAGGGTGGGTGAGCGGACTGCAAGGGTATCATGTCTTTGATGGACGCAGATTGATAGAGTAGCTATTTTTGAATAGCATCAGTGTTATTATCCCAGTCAGATTGTAAAGAATAAAGTGAAAAGTTTCCGATTGGATATAATGATATAGAAGCCGAAATACTCGCCGATATGTTGCCACCATATAATACTGTTAAAGTACTCGAACCTATATCATTAACAGTACTCATTCATTGCTTTCTATCACTTCTACCACAAACACAACACAATGCTTCAAACAGACACTTACGTTATCGATTCTACCGCTACGCCGGGCCTCGTCCATGCAGACAATCTTACCGAAGAGAGTGCCCAGACGACGTCTCAACTTCTCAAGGAGAACAATGAAAAGTATCATATCTTCTTCACCATTGAAGATCACATGGGGGTATGTTTCCGGTTCCATCTGGCGGACCGAGCTTATACCAATGTCCAGGTTTACCTGCACAACCATATCGCCCACCATGACTTGACGCTGTGGGCTCTCGGGGCAAATCCAGATGTACTGCGGTCCCAACATGAACGCAACACGTTATACATGCGCGATGCCATGATTGTCGTGGAGCCACTGGTGCAAGATCTCGCCGACGATGCGATATTCAAGAAATGCCTGGGCCGCGAGGAGAACTTTCGAAATTTTGAAAAGTACTTCATAGGACAGATCCAGAAAAACGGGTATGAGGCCGTACTGCAAAAGTATCTCGTCGGTGGCGGTGATATTGGAAATGACCTGCACTACCGGATTTACATGGGTATGTATCTCTTGATATGATACAGAATACAACTGATGTTTCAGGGTACGTCCACGGTTTGATCCATATTGGTCTCGCTCTTGAGTTTAAGCAGCCGCTGCTTCTCGCCGAAGGACTCGCTCAGGCTGCTGTGCATCATGATATGTGGTATATAGACTATCTCAGTGAGGCAGAGGCCCTGGCAAAAGAGGGAAGAGAATCACCATTGCCCCTTGCTACGCTGATTGACATGGAACGAGAGGATCCCAAGATCAGCACATCCTCCAGTCTTGACTTCCACACCCAGACCCGCAAGCACTCGGGTCGATGGGCCATGGACAAAGAGCTGGCTCGCGATGGAGTCCTTCCCAACGCAAAGCACGATTTGCTGCGTCTGGCGGCACGATGGCGCGTTGACCCCAATGATGTGGAGCGTGCAACGGCAGAGCTCATCAACACGGCCTGTATGTATTTCCACGATGAGAATTTATGGCTGGTACTGACTACTATGTAGTGTATATCACGGCCGGCGCACAGCTCCCTCCCTATGAATGCGCATTCGACTTTTATTTACTACACTGCCTGACTGCGAGCATTGGTCATCTGTCATTTCTGAAGCAAGGCTTCATGACCAACGAGCAAAAGGCCCGTCTGCTCGAATACAGTGGCCGAGTGTTTATGATGACCTACGCCGGCATGGGCGCCCCACAGCTACACCTCGACTATCTTTGTGCCCACAGGTCCAAACTACCAAACCAAGGGTGGGCGGAAGTCTTTGACCGAGCGTGCTATCACGAGGATGACGGGCACATGGCCAAGATGATTCGGTCCACGAAGCTGGCTGAGGAGTTATCGAAGCCGTATGATCATCTCCCTGAATTCCGTGTGAAGAGGGGTATGTTTCTCACGGCTGGAATTGCTATGATTGACTCTGGCAGTGAGCAGCCCATGACCTGGACGAAGCATTGGGATTTTGTTCGTGGCGCAGGGTTTCCGGATGCATGGAAGGCATTTCCAAAGCGTCCGGTTGAGCATGTGTAGCGCACATCACGGGAAAAATTGAAGTGTTGGACATACTGTATTTAGCAAATAAATTCTTCTTTTCGGGTTCAGTGGTTTATCCAGTGCCCAGGGGGTGTGTAGGGTGACTGTTTGAGATGAGACCTCAATTTCAAATCTCGTCTCATAAGAAGCCTCACAGTTGAGGGCTTACATGCCTGACTCATGTAATCTATTCAAGTCGAGAAGTATATTATCATCTAGATACATAATCAGCTATATGGAGTCGAGATAACTTTCTTTTGAAAAGGAGAGGATTTAATAAGAGAATAGCTAGGGAAGACAATAGACATGAAGAGGGATTATTTTGACAGTCGACCACTGACTGGCCTGAGTTCACTGTTTGACTGGAAAAGCGTGTACAGTGCAAACACCCCCTTGGCGAGTAAGATGTCCATACTCGGAATGACAGCTAGGTGAACCGGACTTTTCTTACTTATTCATGGTCCGTTTTCTATCAATCTCACGCCATGTTCTAAAGGAATATTGTCAGAAGGGCAGCTGTGCTTAATGGATTGGTTGGAGCATCTGGGTATCATTATCAGCTCTGAGACCTACTCCAAGGAAAAGAGAGCCTGTAACGCGTCTGGATGGTAACGTGCGAAGCTCCCTGCCCAACTGTAAGACGTCTATGTGCTAATAAATACCGTTCAGATCAGGGCAGCAGCAATTCGTTTTGAAACATATCCCCAGCGACATCTTCTCCAGCTTCAACCTGAAAAATACGATACCGTCTCCATGAAATCCCTTACATACGCCTACCTTGCGACATCGTACACAATGAACGGATTTTTGTCTACGAATGCATGAAGGACGACTTCTTGAGTCTGGTCAGAAAGGATATTTCGATGGGAGCTCGGAAGCAAGTCCTCAAGAACGTTTTGCTTGGTATCGCTGAGCTGCACGACCGATAGATTGTTCATCTCGGTACGCTTCCTGTCAATTCCGCATCTAGGTCCAGAAGCTAACCTGTCTAGATATCAAGCCAGATAATATCATAGTTGACTGTCACCGCAATGGTCAACAGACTACAGTCGAACAGGCTCGTATTATTGACCTAGACAATGTCTCTTATCTTCCCAAGCCGTGGTGCCTGAAGGGCATGGCCGTCGGCAACGAGAACTGGCGTAGTCCCGAAGCCCATTTCAGGGCAAGGCTAAATAAACCGACTGACACCTTCTCTTTTAGTGCTGTTGTATGTGTTTCCGTATTACAAGGTAAACGGCAGTTACTAACGTGCATTTCCTTCTAGTGTATATACGCTATGCTCGGACGAGTCATCTTCGGCCCTGATGGTGATATGCAGCATATTCAGTCATTGGGTATATCACCCTTTCTGATTCGTCTGCAACGTCAAGTCTAATATTTCGGATATCGGGAGGCGGTCGATGGCCTTGAAACACCTCGATGATTATAAACTTTGTCACGAGATTCTGTGTACACTGTGGGAGGACAGACTAGTGGAGAATATCCTGTACAGATCGTTTTACGAATGGCCAGATGCTGTTGGCCTTAATCCGTTCTTTAAGGATTTGGTAAGGCAGTTGATAAGTCCAGATCCTAAGAGACGGGTTACGGCGCGGGAGGCATTGGAGCATCCCTGGTTTGCGGACGTTTGAGAATACTGATATTCTCCTATTGTTTGTTCTTTTCTTCTGTGTTGATTCTCGGGATCGTGTTTGGTGGTGATTACCTCCTCTGGAATGATAATGATAATGTAAACATGCTGCTGTGTGTCTAATCTTCTATCATATGATAATTCTTATTGCTCATAATGGTTATCTGCACTCCGTAGAAAATAAGTTTCTTGATTCGCAACCCAAAGAAAGCTTACTCTAATCCAACGTCAAAAGAACAGCCGACGAATCCGGTACAGTAATGCTAAGCACCCCATCCTCAATCTCAACTGTCTCCTCCATATCGTCCACAACAACGGCATTCCCCTTCTCCAGCTCATAATCATACGAAATACCACCGAAAGTAACATTCTTCTCCACATCGCTTCCCGGCGCGATCAGCCGCTGCACATTGGCACTCTTCGAACCCCCAAGGACCTTAAATTTGTACTCCTGGCTAGAGCGGGAATCAGCACCCGACGTCGAGTTAAAAGCTTCCATGTTAAGAACAACGAGCTTGGACAGCCTGCTATTGTCGAAGAGCGCGTATGCAGCCTCATTGTGGCCGGATAGGGGGATGTTGCGGATGCGCATGTTCTCCGAGCGTCCGAGGGCCATGGCGACCATGATCTGACCGTAGTATGGGGGCTTGGTGGTGGGTGCGATTCCCTTGTTTAGGATTGGTTGCCACGAGGCATAGCGGTAGCTCGTGCCTTGGTGGAAGTTGAGGCGTTTGATGTTCTGTATCGAGAAGTTAGTATAGTACGGAATAGAGAGAAGAAAGAGAAGACATACGTGTTCCGCAGCCCAGAGGGAAAAGTCAACAAGCCACAAGGCATCGCCAAAGACGTTGCTCTCGCCGTCGCGTCCCTGATTCGCGATACTGTTCATTTCACCCAAGACATATGGATGGTCAAGATACTCGAGGTTCTTGGCACGTTGGATGTGTGGCCCGAGAGACTCAACGATGTTGGTGTGGTTCATCAGGATTCCTGCAGCATGGTTAGTATATATTCATGACGCGGGAGTGGGACAGATTTGTACGTACGCTGAAGACGGGTCGCCGGAGGTAATTGGGGCGGCCTGTTTTCTTGCATGTACCTTCAAGCATATTAGAATCCATCATCGAACAAGTCAACAGGAGATGTCGGGAGACTCACTGATGAGCGCAAATCTCTCGGGTGAGATTATTCTTATCATACCCATTGGCATATATTCCTTCAATCGTCCACGGTGTAGAGTCAGCCAGATCAAAACTAGGCAAGATAAAACTGGGCGCCATCATTCCAGGAAACGGCCCGCCACAGGCCTTCTTGTAAGCAGCCGCAATAGCAGTAGACTTGTAGTTCCATTCACGGATGTAATCGGCCATGGAATAGTTTGCAGGTCGATACCTGGTCGGCTCCATGTTGATTTCGTTTCCCAGCTCATACAGATGCAGGTTCTTGGTGTTCATCAACTTGCACATGGCGATGGTAGAACTGGTTTCTTGGGCTAGAGACAGGTTGAAGTTCAAGCCGTGAATGTACGGGAAGTCACCGAGGACCTCATAGGACTCGAAGAAGCCGGGACCGAAGTCTGTTTTGATGGGTTGGTCGTCGTCTGGATTCTCGAAAATGTTTCGGATGGGTTCCTTCTGACTCGGATGATATTCAGCGCGGTCCCTGCATTGTTAGATTCAATAAATACACTCAACTAGATCTATCAATAAAGTTGGTGAGCCTTACTGTGTTGTCCCTCCAACTCTGATGACCGGTGCTACACCGGTGATATCCTTCAAATTGCCCAGCAACGTCCTTGAGAACTCATTGGGATGCGATTTTTTGCCAGTGAAGTCAGGGAAATATGAGAACTCAATTGAGAATGACTGCAAATCATTGGCCACGGGCTCCGTATCCTTTGGACAGGAAGGAACGGCAACTGTATCGGCTTTACCCTGTCCTAATTGCAGCAGTAGAGAGAGCCCAAAAAGCCTCGATGGACGGTGAAGGACCATTATGAAAGATAGGGCGCAAAGAAATAATGCAAACAGATTTCGTAGCTTCCCCAGATTCTGATAGCCCTGCCGCGAGCTCCATTTATGGCCGCGGACACATGGTTGTCGGCGTTTGATCTCGACTTCGGTCATATTCCTTATGTCTCACGGCTACTTAGGGACTTGCCTTTGGTGTCTGATTGCCGTGTCTTCCAGTCTGTGCGCAGTATCCGGCGTCTGTGCGGCCTGACAGGAATAACCTTATAGTATATAGCCGGAGCATGGCTGGCAGGGTCTTAACCTGCAAGTGGCGTTATTCCCTGAAATACTTGTGGGGATCTGGAGATGTGGAGAATCCGGGGAAGTGACTGCAATTTGGGGAAGTGTTTGGTTGTTCCGGGGTATGATCGGAAAATCAACCAATCATCGGTTCTAGGGTTAGGCGAGCGCTTACTTATCATTCAATTGCCGGGGTTGCTGATAATGAACTACCCCGGATACACGGCAATAAGGCTTACCGAATCCGTGGGGAACAGTCTGGGGAAACGAGATTGTTTGATTGGTCGCGGTATAATTCCGTCCCTACTGAGAGAGTTACGTTCCCCCGTGTGTCGCAAGATCTAGTTAGAGGCAAGCAAAAAGATAACATTTGACCGTCAATCTCAGCCATATCCACCTCATATAGCGTATTCCGTACATTGAAACCGTCCCCAACTTTAGGGCTCGGGTCCACGGATCAATATCTTGATCCCTTCTCCCCGTTCAACCGCCTCTCATGCCTCCGTAGCCCCCTCGAATGGGAAAATGTCCATGACCAATCCGGCCAATTGTATCTTCCCTTGGGTCACAAGTTGTATTCCCAAATCAAAATCCCCAGCCCCGTACCGAAAACATCCATTTGCTGTTATCACCTTTTCGCACATCTCTGAGATCGGGAATTCAATCTTGCGCTTTCCCATACCTACCTGAAAAAAATGTGCCTCTATTTCGTAACGAGAAGATGGCAGTCTGGAGTGAGGCTTCTACTCTAGATGTATCAATGGCGATATCTGCTCCCTCTCCTAGCCTTATTAGCTGTCGGACAACCTCCTCCACACTAAGGAAGTGATTTGGCACGAAATTCCTTCCGACACTGCTTCCGATAAATTTCCGAGCAAACTCCAACCTGCGCGCGAGTACATCCACCGAAATCACCGTCGACGCGCCAAATTCCCTAGCCACAGCAGCATAGAATAACCCCACAGCCCCGGAACCAAACACAATGACACGATTTCCAAACCTCACGTCTGCCAGCCTAACTGCATGGACCGCCATCGCCAATGAATCCATTAGGACTGCTTCTTCCAATCTCATACTACCTGGAATTTTGTAACAGAAGTCGGCTGGGGTGAGAAAGTACTTGGTAAGCGTACCGTGTCGCTTTGGAGGGTCTGCGGCGAACTTCATCTCCGGGCAGAGGTCATAGTGACCGGACTTGCAATTCTCACAGCGGCGACAGGGATATCGGGGTTCGATTGCAACTCTGTCGCCAGGAAGAAGAGATTTGATGGTTGATACCACTGCACAGATATACTGGATGCCTCGTGGCCCATAGCTAGTGGCTAGGTTTTAGAAACATAGGCACGGATTCCTCCATTTAGCCAGAAGTGAACCTTAAAACTGAGTGTTAGTGTTCATTGACGTGGTCTCTGTGCGCTTTGTCGGTGGAATGCTGATATCGCTCCCACAAATGCCGGTGTGGGCAATGCCAACTATAACATTATGCAGACCAGTCAATTCAGGATATGGCTGGTGCTCGAAAAGGGCGTCTAGCGGGCCGTAAAGGAGGCATGATGGGTTTTCCGCATTTGTATGCATAGTGGTCAAACAAGATAATTGGATAGGTTTCTCTATTATTCCAAATAAGGTAACGGAATTACATGGCAACTCGATGGCGAGAAGCAATTAAATCCGGAAGCCTGGGTCGAGAGCTTTCAGAAGATGCCTCCTAAGCCAGTATGAGACGTGATTCTTGCGCTCTCATACGAACCCCGGCTTTCCTACGATAACTTTTTATTTGAAAGGCAAAACCAAATTGTGGCAATATTGAGGGAGCATTCCACATAACGAAATATTACTTTAAAGCAGGTTGACACGTGCGCTTGGAAAAGAGACACTACTCAGACTATTTGGGTTTGTTGAATTCTCCGTAGACATCATGAAGTCTCCCTCGCAACTGTTACAGGGGATTCTGAGTCAAACTTTGGAACACAAAGCTCAGTTGATGCCCTCGTCTTCAAATTTCATCAATATCTTTCAGAGCGTTGGCGGACCCTCTCTAGCCATCTCGAACGGACCGAGTGACTTGATCGCGACATGGTAGGCCGGTATAAGAGTGGTTGTTTTCAGTTAAAAAGCTCCGTAGGCCGCTGGCCTTTCTCTCTCCATGAGCCTGGTACCAGTGCCCTGAAGGCTCTCAGTAACATGCAAGAGAGTCCTCTTGTAGGGTGTCGATGTATTTGGTGGGTCTGTTTTTGAACCGAGTCAGCAAGATCTTCGGGGCTCTCTGCCAGGTATCTGACGTACTGTACCACAAAATCAAAATAGTAAGCTTTTGTTCTCACTAATAGACAAGCTTTTTAAACGCTCGGCTGTTTCTCTCCTGTTATGTCCCACGGGACCAAGACCGGGTCGCCTTTGGCTATAACCTGAACAAGATATGCCGTCCAGTACAGTGCGCGTCTTCCTGCTTTTCCGTCGCCGTTTACCTGGTGCCATTTTCCAGCGGGCTACCAGTAGGCGAGCGAGTCTCTTAAATTGTCAATGCAGAATTTTGTTAATCGACTGGACTTTTCAACAGAGTTCAGCAATCAAGCCTTCTCTTCCAAGCGACCGTCTTCAGTATCAACTGCTGTTGCTTGTACGAGGAAATGTATACTAGAGATCAAACATTCTGTCCTTTTGGTTCTTTTTATTCAACTCTTAAGAGTACGAGTCTTCTCTCTGATAGTTGCGGCCACCTCTCCATCAGTTGGCTGCTCCTCCCCCGGCATGTCCCATGCGAGGACCGCCTTTCCCCTAAACATCACCTTGACTTTGTAGGGTGTTTTCTCCCGCGTCTCCTTTATGGTCTCCATCCAGTACATGCCCTCGCTGACTGCCTTCATGTCCCCATGCGCCCTGGCCCACTGGGGGTCCCAATAGCAGCCCAGCGTCTCTGGGTTCACGTTGCCGGTATAGTCTTTGACTGTAAACCTAGGCTAAATTTTTTGAATGGATGTTAGCGACTTGGGTTTCACTATCTAAGGGAGATAAAGTGGTATGCAACAACGAAAGAAATGGAAACCGGAGAGCAAGCCTTCTTCTATCTTCTCACTTAGTGCGTACCGATTTTGTCGAATCAAATAAGCAAGGCTCTTAGCACAGTATCTGTTGCCATTGTATAGCGAGTTGTGGCAATGTGATCTCTTGTGGTCAATCTCACATCTTGGGGAGAATCAGGTCGTTCTCAAGTAGCTTTGTTTCGACTCGAATGGTAATTGACTGAATAAATCTTGTACATGGTGACTTGGGTGAATAGAATAGCTTCGAAGCTGGCTGTGCCTCAGTGAATACTGTCAATGGTAGACAATAGCACGATACAAGAAGATGGTATTAAGCAGCGTTAAATAGAAAAATAGAGGAATAATGAACAGCTTGAAAAAGGTCCTTAAAGCAAACGCTTCCTTGGATGTCACATGATTTCCTACAATTTAGGCAGGTACCTATCGGCATCAAATACAACCATTTAGCAGCTCATTGGCTGTAACTCTGCATAGAGCCACCAGACTTTATAGCTATACCAATACCACCCAAGGAATTATCATTGATCAAGGCCCTTCGTATAGTCTACAGTCATGTCCGTCGAAATGGGACATGAAGAAACAGAGTGAGTGGCCTACCCACTAACCTGACCAACTGGTATTATACTGACCGTTTCAGATGCCCGTATGTGGTAAGCAATACGATCTCGCTCCAGTTGGACGCATCACACAATCACCAGACTGTGGAGGCCAAAATCATCCGTGTCTTCGAGCCATCCACTCTGCCCTGTGTCATGCTCGTTTCGCTTGACCCGCCAGTTTTGGGACTAAACGACCAAATGGTATTGAAGTTCTTTGATCGACGCTTTGTGGTGGAGTTTAGAGATGTGGAACATTGATTCCTGGATACCAGATATTGAGCCGGGATTTCAGCAGTTTATCATGGGTGGCAATGGATCGGAATTCATCAAGAGCCTCAACGCTGACGACGAATTGGTTGAAAAAGGAGACTTATGGAATATCTTTTAGGGTGAAGCGTGGGTGCACTGCCGTATGCAGGATTTCTACAACAGAGAAACTGAAGTGTACCATATCCTGAGAGATACCCAGGGAAAAGATATCCCCCAACTTTTCGCAAGCGTCAACATACCCGGCTCCCTGCCCTTGCATTTTACCGATGTCCCAGGGATTCTTGTTGAGTATATCGACAGGTTTGAATTGTATGCTCTCGAGGAGAATTCTCCAACACAGATTTGGCAGTCCGTGTGCGAAGATGCTATTCGAAATGTCCACCACTTTGGTGATAGAGGAATTCTGAATCAGGATGTCCACGTACGTCATTTTATTGCGCAGAGAGGTCCAGCAGGGACATCCAAGCTGTTTATGATTGATTTCGTGATGTGTCGTTTCCGCAGGGAGTATAAGGATGAGTACTATTATTGGAGGGAATGGAAGTCTCACCAGGATGAAGAGGGGGCAATTGGATATGTTATGCAGAGGATGTTGGAGGGAGGATATGCTTACCACCGGTCTGCGTACTATAAACAGCTGGACTATGAGTTCAAAATGGGCGACTAGTAGCATTCATAGCCCTACGAAACCGAATAAAGAAAGCCGGATTTGCTGTGTCTGAATCACATCCGAACTCCGAGATTTACTATGGATCCGTTAATTATACCCGCAACTTTAGATTTGTTCAATGAAATCGACTCTCGACATCAAACTACTGATCTATCAGATCCATTCACCCACTCATAGGCTGGGCTCAAAATGCCATTGGGCCGTCAAACCCCGCTGGGAGCCGATAAACCCCGTTAGGAGCCGAATCTCAGCTAGTGGGGCTTCACTCTGAAAATATTAAGGCTCTGAAATCACAAAAATGTTCATGATCTACGGATATTCGAGTGCTGATCCAATCCACAAATCCGGGCCATGGGGAATACCACCAGCGTTGCCGCCGGGCGGGACTGCTTGGTCAATGCCGTCGGGGGCAATCAAGGCCTCGTCGCATTTCAAGACCAACTCCTTTATCAGCTTACCGCAGTCAAAGCATATAATCTCAACATCCCGGTGACTCCGGCAGCGGTCACGTTTCCCGAGTCTTCGGAGCAGATAGCGGCGGTTGTCAAATGCGCATCGGACCATGACTATAAGGTGCAAGCTCGCAGTGGAGGCCACAGTTTTGGAAACTATGGTGGGATTCCCTTCTTCTAAATATCATCGCATGCCGGAGCCTGGCTGATCAGCGATTGATTCAGGGCTTGGGGGAACAAACGGCGCCATTGTGGTGGATATGAAGCGTTTCGATCAATTCTCCATGGATAACACAACCCATGTCGCAACCATCGGACCCGGTACAATGTTAGGCGACGTCGACACCAAGCTCTATAACGCAAGCGGCCGGGCAATGCCCCACGGTATCTGCCCAACAATCCGCACCGGCGGCCATTTCACAATCGGTGGTTTGGGACCGACATCCCGACAATGGGGCCTTGCGCTGGACCACGTCGAAGAAGTTGAGGTTGTATTAGCGAACTCAAGTATCGTCCGCGCATCCAACACCCAGAACCAGGATGTCTTTTTCGGTGGCAGGGGCGCTTCTGCTAGTTTTGGTATCGTGACTGAGTTTAAGGTCCGCACGGAGCAGGCCCCTGATCTGGCAGTGCAGTATTCGTACACCTTCAACCTTGGCAGTACAACTGAGAAGGCGAAGCTGTTCAAGGACTGGCAGACATTTATCGCGCAGGAGGACTTGAGCTGGAAGTTTTACACCAACATGATTATCCTAGATGGCGATATCCTTCTTGAAGGCATCTTCTACGGCAGTAAGGAAGAGTATGATGCGCTGGACCTGGAGAAGCATTTCCCCCCCCCCCCAGAACCCCAGGAACATTGTTATCTTGACCGATTGGCTCGGGATGATCAGCCATACTTTCAAGGATATCATCCTCAGAGTCGCCGGCGGCCTCCCCACATTTCTCTACGCGAAATCGCTCGGGTTTACGCCCAAGACACTCATTCCGGAATCCGCAATCGACGAACTCTTCGACTACATTGAGAAAAACAACCCCGGCAGCCTGCTTTGGTTCATCACGATGGATCTGGAGGGTGGCGCCATCAAGAACGTCGCTTCAGATGCCACAGCATACGCCCACCGGGACGTACTTTTCTTCGCACAGATTTTCACCATTAACCCTCTTGGGCCTGTCTCCCAGATCGCGTATGAGTTCACTGATGGTATTTATAATGTTCTGACAAAGGCGGTGCCGGAGGGTGCTGAACACGCTTATTTGGGTTGTCCAGATCCGCGGATGAAGGATGCTCAAAAAGCATACTGGAGAGATAACCTGCCGAGGTTGGAAGAGCTTAAGGCGGAGTTGGATCCTAAGGATACCTTCCATAATCCGCAGGGAGTGATTGCTTCGTGAACTAATTAGTATGTTTGGGTCTAAAACGGTACATAATGCGATTGATGGTAGAAAATATCAAAAAGTGAGTACTTTCAGCGGCTTGTATAATCAAATTTAATTAAGAGCAATACAGGAGATATGCCTTATCTATCTCTCCTGTCGTACAATCAGCTTCCTGCCAGGAAATGATAGAATTAGCCTCGAACAACATCCAATTACAATCTCTCGTTCCACAGCAATCACTCGCAAGTAGCTCCCCAATCTCCCGAGCAACCTGCTCCTCGTTTTTTAGACCAGATCTTGTCCATTCACCCAGCTGGGGCGCACAGTAAGTCTGTGCTCTATCAAATCCCAACCAAATCGCCCTCTCAGGATCATCTTCGATGATCATCATGTTCCTTGGTCTGGCATCCAGGTGCAAAACCATCGCCTTGTGTATTTCCTGGATTCCATTGATAAAATTCTCTAGCCGTTCCTTGGTATAATGATGGGGAAAGATCATCTGGACACCGGGGATATATTCCAGAAAAATCGCGCTTAGGGCGTATTTGTCTTCGAGAAACATTTTGAGATGAGACCGGAACCGTTGTACATCGGGTCTTTCGAGCGTGCCGTAGAAATGGGGTACAATTCGCTTGTCGCATAGGCCGCATTCTTTAAGTCGTCTGTAGGCAGTGGATTCGCAGATATAAGGGTCTATCTCGCGGTTTGGGGGTGTCCAGTGGATTGATCCCTCGTCGCGAAACTCGCAGAGAGATTAGTGCACGCTGCAATTGGTCTTTGAGGTCTTAAGAGGATAAAGGCGAACCACATACCACTTTCATCACACACGTTTGGCCACGGACCTCCACAAGGAATACTACTGATTCATCCGAGGCTTTAAGCTCCTCCTTAAAGGTGATCTCCGACGCGATAACGTTGTCAAAATCCATGTTGTATGCTGACTAGAGCATCAATATGGAACTTCCTGTGACGTTGGAGGTGCATCGAATTGTTTGGTTTGTTTGCACCGCGAGCAAGCCCTAGGTCTGTACGTACAGTGAATATGCCCGAATAAACAAAGAAAACAAAGATAAGAATAGAATAAGAAGGAAATGACACACAACAAAAAAAAAAAAAAATAAAGCGACTGGCCCCTCTCACTTCGCCCCGTCTTCCCTGTCGTTTTTCTCATCTCAACTATTTTAACTACATTTTGTCCCGAAAAAGCTCTCTTCACGCGTCTAATCTCCCACACGCATCTCTACATGCCTCCAATTTTACTTTTCGAGTACCTTCAGCGGGGGCTCGTGTCCCCCCAGGTCAACATCCCTTAGCGCGTGGGCCGTAACACGACAAGCAAACGATTCAGCTAACTATAGGGATATTACCAACATTCAACCTTGGCAAGATTTCAACTTCAACACGATCTGGAACGAACACAACCATGTCCTCATGAATGCCACCGTCGAATACGACAGCCTACCTCCATCGCCACAACGCAGCGTGAACAGTGAGACCCTCGTAAGGGCCGAAGTTTGCGAGCTTCTACGACCGCGAATCAGGTGTGCTCTGCGTTCTTCATTTGCCTTCACGGCCTCCTTCTGGGGAATGCAGAGTCTTACTGAGCTCACATTCAACACCGGCAAGGCAGCCCGTGTGATCCACCAATGTGAGCCGGATCTTGCTTTCTTCGATATCAATGTGCAAATCGGGCACGCTGAGAACCGTGTACCGTGGGATATCAAGCCCTCGTACAAGTGGAACAGAGCCATGAAAAACGCACCAGGCTCCCCTTACTTGCAGAACGAGTTTAAACAGGTGTTGAGTCAAGTCAACCTCTATATGAAGCAGCACGGTACTCGCTACGGGTTTGTTTTCACCAATCAGGAGCTTGAGTCTGAGTGGAAGGTGCAGGGAGTACAAAACGGGCCGGGTTCCTCGTACTCGTGGAATGTGTCAATAAAGTTGGACTCTACATGGAACGCAGTCAGATATTCGAGAATTAAAGTTGAGATATGTATTATGTTTGGAAAACGTTCATGTCTATTGTGGTCTTAGTTGATACTGAAGTAGTACTCATCGTTAGTATTCGAACATAATAGACTTCCTGCCCTTATTGACAGAAAGTACCTCTACCGCATCAATGCAGAAGCTCTGTTCAGATGTCATCTCATGTGATACAGTAAACCTCCCACTCCCAGTCTCATCAAGCAGCAGCTCCACTCGACCCAGAGATTCCGTGTGTACCGCTATCAACATTGAAATCCTATCATTATGAATCATAAGTAAATCCTCGGAATCCCTCTTCAATGAACAGAAACCTCTATATACTGGCTCAAGCTGGAAGAGACGATCGGCCATCATCTGAGGCTTCGCCTCAATGGATGTCTTGGTTAGAAGCGCACCAAAAACGACACGGCGGTTGCCACGGCTGCCGGAGATGAGAACAATTAGCCGGTCAGTAAGCGCTTTTATCAGAGCAGTAAGAAGATCGTGGATGCGAAGCTGATTATTGCCAGTAACAGACCAACAAACCGATACAGTTTCGATTTGGAGAATAGTAGGCATAAGGATGGCAAGCTGAGTTAGGATCGGAAGGTCCAATATTACGCCGGACGTGGGAGCTTTCTGTTGAAAGAGAGGGAGGTATGTATCTCTGAAAATACCCTGTGTCTCTAGTACAGATGGCGATGCGGGAAATCCTCCCAGGTATTTTGTCGAGTACAATGGTCCGAAAAGTCGAGCGCATCCGAATAGAAGACGTGGCTGTACAATAGCAGTAATTAACATTAAGGACCATTGCTAGAACTTGTAGAAAAGAAGCAACCCACCATTGACCTTTTGACGACCCGATCAAACACCTCCCAGGAGATGCCAGTCGTATCATGGTCTTCCTCGAATGCCGCCAGCATACAATCGGTAATGTTTTCCAACCGTGATAGACAATTTGAAAATGCTTGAACATCGATGCCGCCACGATACAGTTGCGCAACGAGGAATAATCGAAGCAGAGATTTAAACTCGTCCATCGGAACCGACCCATGCAAATCCTTTGACCACGACGAAGGGTAATCCGAGGCCTGACATTCAGGACCCGGAAAAATCCACTTAGGATATTCCGGATCACGCCAGTAATTCCTAGAGTTGATCTCATCCAAGACTTTTTGAAGATGAAGGTCATCTTCTTCACTTCGCTGTCTTTGTCCTTCTTTCGATCCAGAAGGCTCAAGGGTAGTCAAGCTCTGGAAAATGACTACCCTGGAATTAGCCAATGGGTCTGAGGTTCTAGTGACTTCTTGATCGGCACTCCATCTCTTTTCATCGTGGACTATTAGAAGGATGACCGCCATTTGCAGTACATTATATGTGAGAAGCTCTTCTGGGTCATTTTGGTATGGGAATGAGCCTAGTCGTCGTACGAATCGGTGTAGAACTGGGATGGCGTCGTTAAGAATCGGGGTCAATTCTGGAGGAAAGGTACTTTGTATGAAGTCGGCCAGATTTGATTCGGACCAGTCTATCAAATATCAGCATCACTCAGAGCTATTATAAAATGAGCGTTTACATTTGGTCGACCCAGAGACTGTACAGAAAACATCAAACACAACTTCAAGTCGACGCCTGCATTCTGTGTGGAAAACGAATAAAGCATATCCATATCTGTCACGGAGCTCATCTCTGGTCTGCGGGGGAGGCGGGAACTCGAAGCCTTCTGGCAATTTTGGTCGTGACGATGAATTGCCCATTTTATTCTTATTGTCGTTTGAAGAAATGATATTGTAGAAACTTGGGTACTTATAGATGGTGGGGACGAAGCTGACTTGTGTGGCTTTGGCGGCGATCTTAAATCAGCCTACGGTACCCTGTATAGTTACAGATATAACCATGACAATTAGGAATTGGCTCGCAATTTGATTTGGATTTCACTAAGAAAAAGCAGTATATGCAGAGTAGTCTATGTAATCTCCTTATACAACTCCTTTGCAAAGGTCTCACAGTTGTTCGTCACCAGGTTGTATTTCGGATGATCCTTTTCGTACTTTTTTGCTATAACAAAGTCAGTTCAACGCATTTCATTCCCACAGGGCAAATCAAACCATACCTTTAGCCATAATATAATCCATCTCATCCTTAACCTCCCCCACAAAAGTATACTGACTATCTGCCGAAGCCGATGCCAATACCCAGCCCCAACAAGATAATGATTCGCCCTCCATTTATCACCCTTAATCTGTGCTTGACCACCCTTCTTATCCTGCCCAGTCAGGTCAATGTCTTGACGTTACATCCAATCACCCAATAGACATAAAGTCCGGAATCTTCAAATCAAATCCCTGAGGCCTCAATCGGCCACTCGAATCCAGCACCCAAGCCTTCAACCCCCAAGATATCCACGACTTCCGGCAGAAATGGACCAAAGGGATAGTCTTCCATTGAGGGAAGGATTGAGATGTCTTGTCCGGGTGTTAGCGATGGATCGACGACTGTCCCTTCGTTGAATGGCGCATCAGCAGCAGCGCGGTGAGTAGTCTCATCTCGCGCTGGTGGTTGGGGGCTCTCTTGGCAAGGTCGATTTGCTGTATCCTGGACAGGGTCCCTTGGCGTCCTTTGTTCCTGTCGGCGAAATAGACCCTTCAGCATCCAGCTGTATTTGCGCCTAATATGCATTTCGCTCGATGCAGTATCTCCCATGATGGCTGCAAATTTCAATGCCAGATTCACAGCCTCTCGACTTTGGGATTCTGATTGAAATGCACCCGCGCAGTGTGCCTTGTACAGGAAGACTGCTGCGTATACCCCGTATCTATCCAATCAGTACGACTTATCCTATGTAGGACCGCTAGAAACTTACAGATAATACCTAGACGGCAAATAACACAACTCCTCCCGCGGGTCCAGACCATTCATCAACTTCAATATCTTCGTAGCCGCGCTAATAGCATCAAAGATATATCGACCTTCCGGAGACAACATGATCCCACGCGAGAATATCTCTGCGAATGACTCCTTTCCCTGCCTCCGCGAAACAGACGTCCTCGTAAGAACAGCCTGAAACGAAAAAGCATTTGCATAGAGACAGAGGTATTCATATTGCAAGGACAAGGTACTCTTTATCTTTGGAGATACTGAGATGTTCTTCCATGTTGAGTGCCAGGTTGTAGCTGCTCGCTGAAAGTCGTCAAGGTAGCGACTGTAATCGCCGTCATGGACCATTGCTAGAGTTCTGTCGGGAGACGAGTATAATATGGCATGGGCGTTGTGTAGGATTTGTGTGAGCTCGAGTGTTGCTTGTAGCGCAGATGCGTAGTCTTCTGTTCTTTCTGTATCCCCTGCAGCAGGCTGAATACTGGGAAAGTCCTTTGCTGTAAAATGCGCAGAGAGAGATGGCCCTCGTGACCAGAATGACTGGCCTAGGCGGACGGATATCTGTCGATCCGCAAGATATATAACTGCCATTATTGTGAGACATCGAATGCGATAGTATATATTTGGGTAGGACTTACAAGTCCAGACAATCCGATCATATTCCACCTCCCTCATCTCCTTGCGACCCTTCCCACGAAAAGCAGTCTGATCCAACCGCTTCAGATACCCATGTCTAACCGCAAGACCAATAAGCGACCAAGCCGTCCTATCCTCACTGAACAAATCAGCCGGCTCCTCAGAAGCTGCTCTGTCCATTTCGATATGTGGCAGCCACTCTGACAACAGAATCAAGCCCACTATCGTTCGAGATCTTTGTGTCCATGGCTGTGCCAGCAGTATTTCGAGCATGAGGCGACGGGTGTAGTCCCAGCAGTAGCGGTGTGTTAGCGAGTAGTCTGGTAAGTCTCTAGTCGCGATGGTCAGGATAACTGTAAGCAGGAAGTAGTCTGATTTCTGTATCTTTTGCATTGCTGAGCGTCCAATCATGTAGGACGGGACGAGGGGGCAATATGGGTGGTAATTGTGGGAGAATCTGAGAAGCAATTCGGGTAGGCTGCTGAGTTGCACCACTCCAGTTTTGACCAACTCATAATCCTCAAGAGCCGTCCCCTCATGTCGTTGTGAGGATTCCTTATTTAGCGTTCCACTCAGATTTCGAAATCCAGAGACGCCGGTTTCATTGGACTGAGCCAGTATATGCAATGCATCGGACGGATTCCTCAATTCCGCACACAATTCCTCGCCCATGCTATCTTCATTCCTATCGCTGTCATTCATAGAGCCCTCTGACCTCTTATCCGACGAGGTCTCATGTCCCCTTGGAGAGTCTCTACTGGCTGTCCTCTCAAGTCGTGTTGACCTCCGATATGGCCGGAAATTCCCACCTCGTCTTGATTCAACCAGAACGCACTCACTACCGGAGTGATAACAAGATACACAAGGCACCTGTCTCCGTTCTCCGACTCCATCACTGCTAGAATTAGCATCCGCTTTTATCTCGTCGAGGTAGATGAGAGGTTTACAGATCACATCTGGTCTTTCTGCGACGGCACCGCAAACATGCGCGAGATGAGCGTTTTCCTGTACCTGGTGTCATATTCTCACTGTTTCTGCAGTACGATAGAAGATGAAAATAAGAAGTTGGTTATTCCATCGGTAAAAGAATCATCGGCTATAGACGGCTATGTCGGTTATGGATTAACCCAAACTATATCAAAACCAAAACCAAAATCATACACTCAAGCCACAAGTAAACTAATTTAAATCGATCATAAACATATGTAAAAAAAAAAAAAAAAAAAAAAACACTCAAGGCAACCCCTGCCTCACACCCCACCTCTCATTCAACCCCCAACCCCAACAACTCCCATCATGCACCGTCGCCCTCCTCATATCCCTGCGATACCTCCCCGCAAAATCCCCACCCATAGCCCTATGCATCGTACAAGTATTATCCCAAATAACCAAATCCCCAACATCCCTCCACTCAATCTCAACCACATACTTCTCACTCATAGCATGCCTAAACAACCCCCCAAAAAGTTCTGCTGACTTGTCGGGCTCAAGGCCCTCGATGTGATGGATATGCGCGGCTAGATACAAATTCATCCGGCCAGACGGCTCATGGCGCTGGACGAGATGGTGGCGGCCCATGGGGTGGTCTGTTGGGTTGATGTTGGCGAAGAACGCCGGGGCTGCGAGTTTCTTGGAGTGCAGGATGGAGTGGGCGGCGATGTAGTTGTTTTCTAGGAGGTGGGTTTTGGTGGCGGAGTCGAGGTCGTCGAATGCTGTTCGCGTGTCTGTGAAGGCTGTTGCGCCGCCTGTTCCTGGGGGCGGGAGTTCGTGCGCGAGGAGGATGGAGTAACCTGCGCGGCGGGGGTTGAAGCTGGAGTCTACGTGGAAGAGGCTGTTTCCCTACACATATCATCAGCATCAACACCAGAACCGGAACATCACTACTATCTGAAACCAAGGGGGGAGATACCTTATTAGCCTGCCCCCTCGGACTCTCGGGATCAACAAGACTCCCATCCTCCTCAATATTACTAACATCGAACAACTCATCGTATTTCAACCGGTTCTTGCGTCCAGCGGCGATGTAGGGCTTGACGTCGTCTAGTTCGCCGAATGTGCGGGCTAGTTCGATGTGCGTTTCATCGGTTAGGTTGGTGTTGCGGAGGACTACCACGCCGTACTGTAATCTTTGTCAGTAGGGGTTGGTTGATGGTGATATAGGTGGACGGACCTTGGTAACTGCATCCTGGATGAAACGGGATATGTCTTCAGTAACGCCATTGGCGAAATCGAGGCCTGTGATCTCAGCCGTGAATCCAGGACGGAGTTCAGTGAGTTTGATGCCGTTAGTTTGGGTCATTGTTTCCGTAGTGGACGCAGACATGTTGAGAAACAAATGAAGCCTTAATGTTTGGATTGCCGGTGTTGCAAGTTGCAATGTCTCCTGGAAGGAGGATCGTGAGTAGGTATATATATCTCTTGAATCGGCTTTGGTTAAGCTGCTTCACACCTTATCCGAGCCGATGGGTCTTTACTATTGCCGATGTCTGAAGAACTGCTACTGAGCATCTGTATCCAACTATAGCCGGTGCTCTACCTACTGCAAGCAGTCTACATCCATAACCGAGGGGTTTACATAGAATTACAGTAATCATAAAAGAAAAGTTGACGTATACCACGGACGACAGTCCTATGTACCCGTTGGCATGCGAGATAACCCTAAGTACCATGACTCTATCCATATCTCTATTTGACAACCAACCAAGCAACTGCAAGATACACAACGCCGGTTTTTCTGGGGGGGGAATTCGGTAAAGATGTTTGGGCTTGGAGAAGAAGCGTCGTAGCATGTTGTCAATGGGGGGGGGGGGGGGGTATATATGTAAATATAATGAAATATAAAACAACATCCATATGCTTCATTTCCTTCTCCGAAGGACAGGCAGGCATGCTCGCAAATATCAGTACAAAGTAAAAGAAAAAGAAAAGTCTAACCCAAAAGAATCGCAATGTCATGATGGGGTATCTCGTCGCCTTGTATTTTCAATGTTCATGCATCCTGGACGCTTTTTTTTTTTTTTGTTCGATCGATTTTGTTTTCCTGGTTTGGTATCCTGGTTGATGGCGCTTATTTCGGCCTCTTTCATTTCCTGCACGTACCACAATCCAATTGCGACACCAGTACCGATGTGTCGTCGTGTCCAAATGAAGAATATATAACTGTCGATCCAAAAAATTCGTTGTCGTTTCCACCAAAATCGTAAATCTGCTCAACCGCTGGCCATCCACGGATGCTCCATAACCTCGGTAATGGTATACCGATTGTCGACATCGCGATCGAGCATCTTCCGAATCAAATCGATACAATCCTCCGAGAATGGCAGATAAGGAATTCGAAGAGGATGGTCCAGGATCTCGTCAATGTTGTAGAATGGGTTCTCCTTGTACACAATGGTATACAAAAGGATACCAAGGGCCCAAACATCCTGCTCTTTTCCTCCGTAGGATTTGCCCTGAAGGACTTCGGGGGCTGCGTAGTCGATGGTCCCCACGAAGACGTCGAAGGGTCCATTCTTGATATACGCGGCACTTCCAAAGTCAATCAGTTTGATTCTTCCTTCGCCGTCGAGGATCACGTTTTCATCCTTGATATCGCGGTGCACCACGCGCGCCTTGATATGCAGATGATGAATGGCATCCACCACTTGTCGGAAGATGTTGCGGCACTCCGTCTCATCCATATTGGCCTTGAGTTCAATGTAGTCGAACAGGTCCATTCCAGGCAGACCATGTGGCTTCATCTCGATATAATAATTGATGTCGTCCTCGAAGAATCCCTCCATCTCCACAATGTTAGGGTGTCGAAGACCATCGCGGCGGAGGAAATCCAGCACATGAATTTCCAATGGAACCGTGCCCAATTTCCGGTCTCGTGTCCATGTGTCGACGAGAATGCGCTTCTTCGTGACGTATTTCAATACAACTCGCTTCGACGGGTTCTTCTTCAAACACGTAAGCTTGACTTCTCCATAAGCACCCTGGCCCATCTCCTCGAGGATCATATAGTCCGCAATTGTCCTTTTCTCGGGGATGTCCTTTGTAGCAGGGACATTCGACTTCACTTCGATCACGGGCTGGACAGGCTTGTCATTGAGCGGCTCAGATGCAGCCTCGTGAAGCTGTTGGCTAAGCGTTGACGACGGTAGTTGCGTCTCGACCGATGACTTTTCACTGGTCCCCAAGGGCTCAGGCTGAGTAGTCGTCGCGGCAGTAGGCCCCGGCACGACGACTGGTGTAGTATTGCGAGATGGTTCTTTGGACGACCGCAAACTCGACGCTGGACCAATCGAATGGACCTGTCGCGAATAGGTCACCCATAACGCATAAAGAAGTTCAGTCGCAGCCACCGTGTCATCGCTCTCGGCATCAGAATCATCACTACCATCATGTTGATTGACCTTCTTCTCTTGCTCATCCTTGGAAAAGATCGTCTCGCTCTTCACGACTCGCAACTGCACGTCCACTGCCATAGTCGAACCATCGCGATGAGTTGCGGTTAGCCCAGCCGGCTCGAGAAACACCGAGGCCACGTTGGTCTTCTCATCCCGTAAAGCAGCGAGCGTCCTTGCCCTGCGGAGACTCTGTTCAGGAATCACCATGCCATCCATCAACGGCCCATCGTCCTCTTCATTAAGTACGTCCAAAAGGCGGTCGAACCCCGGAAGCAAATCGGTGACATGCAGTCCTTCTGGACGTTCCTGACCAAACAACGCAGCCGAGAAGACCGAATTCGAGCTGATCACCTTCAATGTCGACGCAGAGAGCACCATCATACCAGCAACATGAGGAAAACTAGATATCCGGAGACGACGCTGTGCGCTGTTGTCCGTCTTGTCAACAGTCACAGGACTACAGAACCCGGCGGCATTGCGGGCGGCAAAGTACTTCAGCTCGGAAATCTTGGCTATGGCCTGGTCAGTGGCCGCCTGGAGGCATTCCTGGGGAAGACGCGGAAGAAGTTCTGCAATCCGTTTGCCGGGTTGGACCACTTCAGGGCCCCAGATCTTATCCGTATCTCCTTGGGCAGTTGTGACGTTCCATGACGAATCGCAATCCACATAAGCGGTGTTCTCCGTAATCTCCTCCAGAACCCATATCAAGCCCCCGCGCTTCTCCATAACCCAGATGCTGGCTGAGCCCTGAGTACCATTGCGTTTCCGGATGGGCACCACATCGCCGCATAGCAGAACACCGCGGGATTTCGTCGCTGGATGATAGGGATCCCTAGGAATGCGGGTGCTGGAGCCGAATCCGTTGTCCGTCTGGGATCTCCTTACGCCTCTTGAGGATGGTGGTTTACTGAACAGCTTGGCAGTTGAGCCATTACCAGATCCCACGAACTTGGAGTTTACCTGGTTGATACGAGTCCTATCGGACGAGGTAGGGGAAGAAGAACGAAGATTTGCTGCAGCGTCAGTGCGAGGCTCTCCCAACTTGGACTCAAGCCACTGCCGCCGATCCTTTTGTACGACTTCTAGTATACTTAGCTTGCGGAGTTCCGCTTGGGTGACACCGAATACAAGACACGAGAGATCATTAGCAGCCAATATAGTCCATGGCGCCTGCGCGTCAGTCCGGAAGACAGCCTGGGAGACCGGATTCCATTTGCTGCTGTGGGTATGCAACGCCGGAACTGGAAATCCCAAACCAAGACTCGAGGAGCCGACGGACCCTGACATGGGATCCGTGGTGGATTGGGCTAAAGTTTCCATCGGCTTGCTCTGGGGACCAGCAGAGCTACCGTCCGTATATGTACGTTTTACGTGCCTGGACAAGGGATCGTCGGCCTTTGGGTCCCTCTTTTGGTGCGGTACATGGTCTTTCGGCAGCGGACTCAACGGATGGCTCATCTCTGGGGTCACCTTATGATTTGCTGCATGGCTTTGAGTCGCTTCCGGAGGGTTTCCATAGTCCATGAAAGCCTTCTCGAATATGTTGCCGCTCACGTCCGGAGGCCCGGTCATTGGGCCGAGAGCTAAACCAGCAGTGTCAGAATAATCCTCACTTTCCCCCAAGACATCCGATTGTGACATGAAAGAATCCACCGTACATTGTCCCTCTGTATCCCCGCACGTGCCAGTCTGCGCACCGCTAACGGACCTGCCAAAGCGGCCGCGCATAAAATCGATCGACCGTTTCAGGATATTCTGACGGGTATGGAGAAGCTCCTCCGGTTGCTTTGCAAAGGAGAACGAGTGTAGCGACTCGCAGGGAAACCGATGGAGGTTCTCCAACGTGGCCGAACTTTCGAATGACATTGCACGAGTGGAGTGGGCTCTCGACGTGGAGCTAGAGCGTGGAGAAGGCGAACGATGTTGCGAATTCGAATTCGAAGGGACAAGTGACGAGGCTGATACGTTCGGAAGGGTCATGACTCGCGAGGGGAATTGTTGCCGTATCCGATCCAACCCAGACGGCCCCATTCCATGTTCATTCTCCAGTAAAGGAGATCTGCCACCAGGTTAAAATTTCCTGTCACTTCCGTAAAGGGGTAAAAGAAAGAGCAGGGGAAAATACTGTGCGCAACCATATGCAGGTCTATGCCGAAAAATGCAAGGAGATGTGACGACTAACCTTGGGAGAGGGTCATAATCAGGCAGGGAACATCTTTCATCGAGGCCTGCCCCGTAAGGGTCAGACTCCGGTGATGTTGAGATAGAGCATTCTACCGGAGAGGACAAGGGACTTGGTTCGCCTGTTGCAGTGGTCCTGGTTAGCGGAACAGTGCAATGTGGTTTGTAAAGCACAAAACTCCCAGCACACTCTCATTTCCAAGCTTCGTCTGTTCACTGGAGGACGGATTGCGATGAATGCGGCCCGGCGCATCAATTGGTCAATATTGTATCTTGCGCGCGTATTGAAAGGCGTAGGGCATTGATGCATCCAGTTGTGTCACTCTGGATTATTTGCCAGGGCGTTCCTCGGGCGCAGGTGTTTTTTTTCTTTTTCCTCCGACGTTTCCCTTGGATCTTGGCCGTTGGACCATCTTTCAGCCCAATGTGTAGCTCTCACCTGAAGCATTGGAAATGAGAGCAGGGGGGGGGGGAGACCAAGGAAACAATAGAAAATAAAGAGAACAAAAGGAGAAGCACAAACTAACCATCCAAAAAGTGATTGTGTGTAGTCCGTGTAGTCCCCATAATTCTACCGCTCGAAAAAATCCCTTCTCAACCTCGACAGGCAAATGGCTAGCGACCAGCGCCGGTCGAGTCAACAAAGACGGAAAGAAGAGAATATGAAAGAAGGTTCAGAATTGTTGCACAACAATCGGTCTAGGTTGGTTCATGGGATGTGGGATGTATGTATGTATGAATCGAGGCGGGAGGGTTTGAAACGTCTTTGTCGTCGACCAATATGTACAACTCGACTTTCTCGGTTTTGTTTCTTCCGTTGTTTATTGGCTCGTCGTTCTCGTTTTCCGAATCCGAGGTCGGTCAGCAGCAGAGCTGGAGCTGCCTCGTGATGGTAAAGAGGTTCTATGACCGTGGCGGTCGCACGCACGAGGGAAAGGGTAAGGGAGGCAAGTGTCGGTCGCAGATGAAGGAAAGTAGGTTGGGACGGAACAAGAAGGAATAGCTGATTTCTTGCTGTTGTAATCGACCGGACGTTGGTCTGCGCCAGTTCCCTTGGGGGAGGAGGCGTGGACCAGAGAGAGAGAGAGAGAAGAGAGGAAGAAGAAAAAAAGAGGAGGGGGAGAAGAAGGGTTTGTTTTGGCGGGTGGGAACAGTTGGTAGTAGTAGTAGCTGTAGTAACAGTCAATAACACCTGTCTCTTTCTTTTTGCTGTCTTTTATTCTTTCTTTGTACACTAGTAGTAGTCTTCTCTGCTTTTCCGATATAAAGAGAAAAATAGCACTATGGCTGATTGAGAGGAAGCCCCGAAGAATCGTCTAGGAAAGGCTGCACGGTTCGGTCGGAGGTCCCTTTGGTCAGGGCAGAGCCACTGCGAACTATTATTACGAATACGACAGGCTCTCCTTTTCGAGCAGCGATTTTAAGTCTGTTCCCTAGTACTCTGGGGTGCCAATACAGAAAAGTAACTGGATCTCTCCTGTCTACAGAGTATAAAAACCCGTAAAACCCCCGAGGCGACAGGCGGTGATGTAATGCCTTCCTCTTCGGGACCATCCCAGGCCAATTTTTAGAATCTTCGGAGAATTCTGTCAATTGAGGCATGACTAGTAGCAGTTATAGACACAGTATTAAGAACTGTGCTGGACAGAGTGAACACTCCGAGATAGCGGTGTCTCTATTGGAGTGTTCGCATTTCTCCTCTCTTTAACGATCTAGTCTATCTCTCATCGTGCCACGGTACCACCCCCAGATGGCCATGGCACCATCCCAATAGTCCAGATCTTCTCAGGCATGCAATGCAACCGAATAGGGTCTTGCTTATTCTAGACTCTCCAGCCCGCTCAAACTGCGCATCGCCAGGCCATCCGGCTCGGCAGGAGACCGCTTCGATTTCTCCTCGTCGGTACCAAATAGCGTTTGGTTCTGCTGTCGTGCCTGCTCCGGTGGCTCCGAGGCCGAACTAACAAATCCGGATAGGTTCCGATTACCGTGACCTCCCAGCATCCATGAGAATTCGGAATTCGCCAATGACGGCCGTGGTGACTGGCGTAGAGGAATTGATGTTGGACCTCCGGGCTTTCTGGCGCCGGGTCGCGATGGCCTTTCACTAGTCGATGATGATGATGATGATGACCTGGATGACTGTTCAGTACTACCAGAAGCTGTGGAAGGTTGTTCGGTTTTCTGCTTTGTTGGTTCTTTCGCTTCCGTGGCAGTGGTTGACTGCAGAGAAGCCGATGGGTCCTCAAGACATGTCTGCACAGACTGCACCCTTGTCAGAGTCTGCTTCATAACGGCTGTAGCTTGCGGATCGACCTTTTCGGCATTCCTGTTCATCATCTGAGAGCGTAGGTCGTTCAGAGACTGGCTCAGAGACTTGGCAAGTATCCGGTTGCGTTCCTCCAAATGATCGATTCGCTCGCGTAGATCGGCGGTCTCTGGCTCCTGTGACCAGGAGGCGCTGTTCCTAGCACTAAACGAGGAGCTATCACCATATCTCGTACGAGGGTAGCCCTCTGATTGAATTGACTGCATGTTCTTTCGCGCTTCGCTCACCGCGCCGCGGACAGCTTTTGCGACCCCCCAGGATTCAGTCCGTCGCTGAATGCCTTCAGAGACATCTTGAAAAATTGTCTCCAGGCCCCTGGAGCTGCTTCTTGGTGATTTAGAGAATGCATTGGCTTCATTCATGTCTTTCCAGTCACCAAGCAGCTGCGCTCGCCTGTTTGGAACAGGCCTTGCGTCAAGCCGTCTCGAGGCTTCAGGAGGCTTGCCGGAGCATTTCGAGATAATGAATTTGCCCCTCTCGGTCGTTGGATTCTGGTCTAGGTATATCGCGTCGTACACGAAGCTCTGGGGTGCATATGGATGAGGGGATGGATAGCGGAGCAAAAGGGTCAAAGCAGTCGAGCTATCCACGGCCAATACTAGAGATATCAATTAGCAATTGAGAACGCGAAAGCGAATCAAAACACTCAGGACGAACATTGCCATCTGATTCGTAGAAGCATTGCGACACAGACAAAGTCGACGAGTTCCGGTCGTAACCCCTCGGCAAAGAGATGATCCCACATGACAAGCACATCCTCGAACGGGAATTCGCGGCCAAATAGTAGACGCATCCAGCGGCTGTGCCCAATGTTAGCCTTTTGAATGTAGGACAAAGGATCGGGTAACCCACGTCAAAAAGATCTGGGGTAAAATCTCAAGAGCCTGTAAATGATCCGCTAACTCGAAGTCTGCGGTCATTAATAACTCCTGGTGGATATACTGACACCGGTTGACAATAGGAATGACATCCATTGTACCACTCGACGATCTCTGCTCGCCATGTTCGTAGTACACTCGAGCAGTCTGCATAACCGAGCAAAACAACGCAAAGGAATCGTGCTCAACATAAGAAGCATCCAACAAATTCACCATCAAATCGTCATCCTTGTCCGCTAGCGGATTCCGCTCAACCGCATCCCGATCAACAACCCACAGTATAAGCGCCAGCAGCTCGTGCATACCCTGCCGATATCCCAAATCCGGATTAAGTTTGGCGTAGATAAACAGTATATCAGTCATCTTCGACTTGGTCGTGGGTTCCCGAAAGAAGAAATTCTCTTGCAAGCACCTATCCACATCTTGCGATACATCCGCCCTCATCTGTTCGTCGCGTCGCAGTGTCTGCCAGGGCGACTTTCGCGCGCATGTTCGTTATTTCCAACACACTCCCAGGGTTGCTTTGCGGACTGGTTTATGGGAGAAGAGCATACCTCCTCATCATCCGCCAGCGGATCGATCGTCGATTGTAAGTCATCGGGATGCTCGATGTACTTTAGGAAGTGTTCTCGTAGTGCGGAATAGGCGCTTCGGGTCTCGTGTATCTTGGGTAGCCATTGTGTGCGGTCGAGGTCGTCGAAGAGCAAGAATGCCTACTCAGTTAGCTAAAACCAGATATCTGGTAGAACATAGTCTATCACACCTTCCAACAAACAGACCTCAGTCCATCACTGCATATGTTCCCTTGTTCTGATTTCAGAGCGGTTCGGAGATTGGAGGTGGTGTCATTGTCGCAAAACAGAGCTGACCATCTCTTCCTATCGACATTGTCAGCATTGAGCTATCGCAGGAAAATCCTCCTCGGTCGTACCTAGTATCTTCAATAGACCTCATTGCATCGTATGGTGTATTGGGGGACAGAAATCGGTAGTTGTTGACAGGACCAGAAGATGAGGTCAGGGACCGATTGATAGCGGCTAAGATTCACCGTCCCACATTCCACCTCCTCAGGTTCGCGAGACTGCTGTACATACTACTATATCGCGACTTGCAATTTTGGATTAATTAATTTCATATTTTCTATTCCGTTTCTCTCTTTCGCCATCCTTTCTCAGCGTCATTAGATATTCTACATATTATACATGCACCGGAGCGCTTGTTGACAACGACCCCCGCAGATCAGCCAGGCTGCTTCGCCATAATGTCTGCCGATTTATTCGCAGAATTCGGCCTAAATTCAACATCTACTCAATCCTCAAACACCCGCCGCCAGCAGACAACTCATGCGCGGACAAGTTCTCTCATTCCCGATCTGGACACATCGGAAGATGCAGACTTTGGCGATTTCACGAGCCCGGCTCCGTCGGCACCTTCAATAGGCCAGCAAACAAGGCAACTTCAATACGATGACAATGTATTGTTTGATGCGACGCTTGAGACTGCTTCGAATGCGGGATCTGATGATTGGGGGGAGTTTGAGACTGCGGAGCCATCGCCGGCTCAGCAGCAGCCGACGGGGCCTATTCATGCGCCAGTTCGGGTTCAGGGCCAGTCTAAGAGCTCTGATCTTCTGTCTGGGGACCTGGGTTTATTATCCATTGAGGACAAGAAGCCGCCATCGAAACCTCAGGCAAGGAAAGTAGTGCCCAAGAAAAGCCCTTTGCCTCAAAGCAAGGCCTCTATAAAGCCGCCTGAACCGCCTGAAGACGATCCCTTTGAAGATTGGGGGGATTTCAATGATGGGCCTCCGTCAGCACCCAGTCCAAGTTTGCCTCGCAAACCAGGAATCACGCCAGGACGGACATTGAACAAACAGCCCCCGGCGCAACCAGAAAGAAGTGCGTCACAAGCTTTCAACAAGATCAGTCAAGAAAGCGTCCCCGCAAGTCAAGTACGACCGACAAACATCCCTCCGCCATCTGTCCTGCTGGAGTTATTTCCCCAGGTGCTGGATCAACTACGACAAGAAGCAACACAAGCTAGAAAGAACGCGCAACAGAAAGAAGCTCTCGAAGCAGCAGCATCAGCGATCACCTGTACCTTGAAGACAGCTGCACGAGTAATCGCCGGCCGCACTCACCGATGGAAAAGAGACGCCATTCTAAGCCAAAGCATGAGAATTGGACCAGCACGCTCCGGAAAAGCCGGCGGCATGAAGCTTAGTTCAGTCAACAAGAACGAAGATATCAAAGAGCAGCAAGAAGCCGTTGACGTGATTACAATCTGGCGTGACCGGGCTGCGCTGTTCAACTCTGTGGTTCAAACCTCAGGAAAACGTCCGGTTCCTGTCATTCCGGAGAATGTCCGGGCTCTTACTGCAAGCGCTGAGCAAGGGGCTATCAGGGCATCTCATGCTTGCGCGCTCTGCGGGTTGAAACGGGATGAGCGATTACCGAAGGTGGATGAGGGTGTTGAGGATAGCTTTGGGGAGTGGTGGACGGATCATTGGGGGCATACTGATTGCAAGGAATTTTGGCAGAGCAAGATGAAGTTACTTGGCCAGCGATAAGCAATGCTGGTTGACTGGATCCTCGTACATCCGTTTCATGGCTGCACAATCGGGGACATCATAACCAATCGGGATTGTGCGTTGTCGCCCTCGTGATTGCCGTATCATGAGACCAATGTACTCATATACTCTATGCGCAGTCATTTCCCAAGGTCCAGAGATGCTGGTATTTTCAAGGTCTGATGGTGGACTGTTATCGGGGCGAAGCGATAAGCCGGGAGCATGGATGGCATCATCGTCAGCTGTTCTTCACGGTCAAAACACCGTCAAGTGATAATATTGTACATTTAGAGGCATTAGAGACGCTATAATAAATGGTTTCTCTAGGAAGAAGTCAATCCTTTTGTATTGTGTTGTCCTCAAGGTAGTTCCGTCATTCTCCTATTTCTTTCTATTTCCGTCTATGGTGACGATAACGATAAGACAACCGTGCTGATACGGCTCTCGTCGGAGTAGCGTTCGCCCAATGTCAATGCCTCGTTGTCAATGATCTTCTTGAAGAAAACATCATTCTGATTCCTGTTCAAACCTTCGTCAAGCCTCAAGTGTGGCGCCAAAGTCCAGCGGCGGTGTGTTCTCCTGTGCGTAACAAAGGGTCCATCCTATTTCCCCTCCTAGGCTCCTCACTTTCTCTTCTCCAACGTCCGCCCTCAACCTCCCCCATTGTCCTCACCCGGTCCCCCTGCTATCCGACCGGTCTACCGAATATACCTTCTTGGTCCTTTTGAATGCATTATCGAGACCGTTGATCTCCTCCGTTACCGCGAGTTATTACCCCGTACACTCCGCTCGCTTGCCCCGCTGGATCGGACCGCAAGTATACTGTACCACTCCAGCTCAACTACGATTCTTCTATATTCGCATCGACTTCGTGCATTCTGGGATTAGAAATACTACTCCGACGGGGAGGTGGGATTATTCATTGTGTTTTAGTCAGCGTCACGGGGACTCTATATAAACCGAGCGTTTCGTCTGTCTCACGGGGTCAGATCAGGCTCTCAGACAAACGGGCCTTCAGGAGTCATTGCACCAGGATCGCGAACAGGCGTCTTCTGCAGGAACGGAAGAGTAGTTTTGAAAGGTTTCAATCCATCTGGGATTCTATTTGCCTGCTCTACTGTTGTGGAGTTATTAAGCTCCGGATCACCGCTGTTCTTCCGATCGCCCTCTCACATCGGTAGAGGTTATAACTAACTGGTCATCATGGGCCTCGCATACAACGTATACCTCAACTCCAACAAGATCTTCGGTTGCAAGCACTGCAAAACCCATCTTGCCGACTATAACGACATCGTGAGCCGAGTGAGTTCTCCTTTATCTCTACAGCTGGTGGTATGCTTTCTCTGACTTGGTATGTCTATGATAGGATTTCCGAGGTCAACATGGCAAGGCATTTCTGTTTAATACCGTCGTTAATATCACACAATCTGAAGCCGTGGAGCGGAGCATGACAACCGGAAGACATGTGGTTCGCGATATCGCATGCCGGCAATGCAAGGAGACAGTAGGATGGAAGTACGACAAGGCATATGAGTCTGGGCAGAAGTATAAGGAGGGGAAGTTTATTCTGGAGGAGGAGCTCCTTTGCGTGGTATGCTGAGGAGGTTCTACTGTCCTGCTCCTCGTCAAGCTCATATATATTTTCGAGGGGGTCTTGAAACGTCCGAGCGTCAGACTGGTTCAGTGAGCATTCTATTCTTCCTTCTTTCAACCGGTGTATGCGGGAAAGGCGTTCTAATGGGGCATTATTTTGTTATTCTTCTGGGAGTGTCTTGTCATTTACAGTCTGACAGAACTCGGCGCAGTCGGAGTGATTTTGGTTGTATGCATATCTGTTTGTCTGCGATTTCAACGAAGCATATCCTTGCTGCTGCACTTCTTGATTAATTATGGAATCTGCTTTATTACTCCAGTTGGTGTCAGATAGCGGCGTCACCATTTCACAGGGAATAAATGCACTCAGCTTTCCACGCTTTATATCTTGTCTTTTCCACTTCATCTTACGAAACATGAAGAGCACATGGATCCACTGGACTCTCACACTGAGACCCCGATGCCAATGAGGAACTGGCTTAGGGTGACTATCTGGCTGTGACTATCCACTACAAAAGAGCATTATTTGGAAGCAAGCGTTGACATGACTCGCAAACCGTAAGCAAACTGTACAACATGTAGTTCTACCTGAGGTTATTACCCGGTGGTCATTCCGGATATCATTTACCTTGCCCACTTCTTCGGCACTTGTAATAGATATCTCATGGTCCTCTGGTTCGGATCTCTTTGATTAGATGGTATAGAAGCATCAGGATAAGTAAACATCTGTACATATTTCTTTTCTTTTGTAATGTCTCGCTTGCCGAGTTGCTTGGATGGCCCTGGACGGTGGAAAAGCTTCAATGCTCCGGCTGGTGGCAGAAAAATAAATAAAAAAAATAAATAATATAAATTTAGAGCAATAAAAGCAATTGAAATATTGAAATATGGAGTACAGAGTGCACATAAAATAATTCCAATAAAATGGTGTTGTGGTAGTAAAAGACATGGCCGGGGCCCACCCGTGATCTCTGAATTCTCCTCTTCCTCTTCCTCTTCTGTTTTCTTCTTCTCTCTTCCCACTCTTCTTTTCCACCTCTCTTCCATCCTCCATCCTTTTTTTTCTCTTTCCTCTTTCTTTTCCATCCTTTCTCTTCCTCATCTCTTCCCCTCTTCCCTTTTCCTCTTTTCCTCTCTTCCTCCCGTCCTTTTTCCGTCTCTTCTCCCTCTTATCCTTCCTTTCCTCTTCCTCTTCGTTTCATCCGTCATCACCACTCCCACCACCATTTCTTTCGCCGTTCCCCCTCGGTCTCTTCCACCGTTTTCTCTTCTTCGTCCTTTCTTCCTCTCTGTTCCTGACTATCGCGTCATCCTTGTTTGTTCTCCTACGAACTCTTCGCACTCCCGTCGAATCGCCATCCCGCTATTTCTCCCACTCTTCCCCTCCTCTCCGTTCCTAGGTAAGTGAATAACACTCTTACGATTTATATTGTGGATTTGTCTTCGGTTCAGTCTTCATAACTTTTCTTTGCTTTTTTCTCCCTTCCACCACCCTTTTTCATTTTTTGTCATGCCCTGTCGTTTGCCCCTCCTCCCCCTCGTTCGAGTCTCGTGCGACACGCAGTGAAGACCCATGGAACTAATTTTGCGCTTCCATACAGTTTGTTTGTCACCTTGACGCCGCTTTTACAAACAAAGGACCACCTACCGTTCTCGAAAAGTTCCAACTTTCTTTGCAGAAAAAATAAAAAGGATATTCCTTAATTCCAACTCGACACCATGGACGCCTCCGATATTCACGACACTACCCCCGTCGTTGACGAAGTCATGACCGATGTCAACAACATGGTCGACTCGAGTGACATCGAGATCACCCCCAAGACCGAAGAAGAGTACGCTCAGGCCATGTTGACTCTTCGTGCCATTGTCTCTTCCAAGGAAGCGGGTATCATCATCGGCAAGGCCGGTAAAAATGTGGCCGACCTGCGCGACGAAACCGGTGTCAAAGCTGGCGTCAGCAAGGTGGTCCCCGGTGTGCATGACCGTGTCTTGACTGTCACCGGTCCCTTGCATGGCACCGCCAGAGCTTATGCGATTGTTGCCAAGAGCTTGGTGGAGGGTGCTCCGCAGATGGGTATGGGTGGCATCGTTTCCAATAACGGAACTCACCGTAAGTAGTGTCTTCCCCCATTCTAACGAAAGTTTGCTAATGGCTCCCCAGCGGTCCGTCTCCTCATTTCCCACAACCAGATGGGCACCATCATCGGACGTCAGGGCTTGAAGATCAAGCACATCCAGGACGCTTCCGGTGTGCGCATGGTTGCTCAGAAGGAAATGCTCCCCCAATCGACTGAACGCGTCGTTGAAGTCCAGGGAACCCCGGAGGGTATCGAGAAGGCAATCTGGGAGATCGGAAAGTGCCTCATCGATGACTGGCAGCGCGGTACCGGCACTGTGCTCTACAACCCTGCGGTTCGCTCGTCCGTCGGTCCCGGCCCCTTGGCCCCGGCTCCTGCCCCCACCAGCAACAACAACAACAACGGATACAGCAGCCGCCCCTACAACCGGACAGGCAACGGAGCCGATTTCAGTGATAACTCCGGTGGCTACGGTCGACGATCCAACTCCGACGTCAGCCGTGGATACCCTCTTGTCACCGAGGACGGCGAAGAGATTCAGACCCAGAACATCAGCATCCCGGCTGACATGGTGGGCTGCATCATTGGCCGCGGCGGCACTAAGATCACGGAGATCCGCAGAAGCTCTGGAGCTCGCATCTCGATTGCGAAGGCCCCTCACGACGAGACCGGCGAGCGCATGTTCACCATCATGGGAAGCGCCCAGGCCAACGAGAAGGCTCTGTATCTCCTCTACGAGAACCTCGAGGCCGAGAAAACTCGTCGTAGCCAGCTGCCTCAGGACCAAGAGTAAATTCGTCCAATCTCTGCCGTTACCTTTTTCTAGTGACGGTTGATCTTGTCCGGTCATGCGAATTCATCTAATTCTGGGTTTCATGGTCATAATTACTTTTCTATCTAACGTCTTTTCTTTTCCTATCCTCTTTTCATGTTTGTCTTTGTTATGTGGCTTCTTGATATGGGAAGCAAGGGTCTATTGCGATGGACCGTACATGCTTGTTAGATACCAAAACCTGATGGTCATTACCTTTTGTCGTTTAATGAACCCGATTTGCAGGGGTCACCTACATCATGTCTTCCTTTTAACCCCCCTGTCTCACCTTTCACTGTCGGACCTAAACGCTCTCTTCCTCCCGTTTCCTTTTACCTGCTTACTTTTAACCTTGCTACCACGTCTCCTCTTGAAAACAACCCTAAACACCCCAAAAAAAGAAACAAAATGATGTTATTTTGTCTCTGGATCCTCTTACCCGTTTCTTTACATATTTCGAGGTCTAATGAATGAATCTACCATCCTAGTTACTTGTATTATTTACCTTCCTCACGTATAACTAGAATCCTCCAGGAGAAGTAGTTCTGTCCGTCATAAATAGAGATTTGTATTGCTTTTGGGCTAAGCCCACCCCAAACCTGCGGGCTATTGGGGCGGGTTCGGGGCGAGCAGGCAAACGATGGCCATAGCCCGCCCCGGGTGACACTCTAGGCCCCCAAGTCTGGCAAAGGTTCTGGAGGTAAGGATAAGGGTGGTGAATGTACTGGACAGAAGAAGTGAAGTGATTACAGTATTGTATTTGGATGGGTAGTTACTTTGTCTCAGAGGATTGTATTTCGTTGTATGGGGGTGTCTTCATTGTTCAGCTTCCTTAGGCGCTACGGTATACACTACATCATTGGGAATGTGATTTCACTGTCTAAAGTGGTTGTGTATTCAAAGTATAACTGGAATGTGAGTAAGGAGCGAGGCTACAGCAAGAGAGACTATCACACGTGCAGATTGGTTGGAAACATTTAAGCAGCAACACAATTTCATCGATGGCCCAAATGTATCAGATACCAAAAAGAGTGGTTCAACTGTCCAGGCCCCTTCTAGTACTGAGCTGATGCTGGGATCCATGGTAAGTGTTCCAACTGTTCTTCCATCTATCCTTCACCCTTCACCTGAGGTTCCTTTACATAAATTTTGCTTGCCGCTCACTCTGACAAGAACACAAGGATTTACTGAAGAGGTTGTTCATGACAGATTGCCACAAGCTCAACAGAGTCTGGCTTCACTCCTTGCTTGACCAGTGAGGTCAGTTCAACGCCTCCCTGGGCATTGGATGGTATAATGCCTCCGACCGAGTCTCACACATCGCCGATGGATACCAACCCAGGCACATCGTGGAGCGAGATCTCTCCCCTCAGCATGATTGATCCAAGGCTCATATTCACCAAACAGCAGCAGCAGCAAAACTCGGCAGGACAGCCACAATCTGAATCTCCTAGGACTGCTGCGGTCCCCTTCAGCCATTAGATCACCTGTAGCGGTCAACAATGATGTTCCTGCCGGTTCTGTTGACATCATCCAGTGTGCCGGTAACAATGCTGAGAAGATCAATCCATCATGTTTGTTTTGTCTGTCTCACTTTTCCTCGTTTGCCACTGTTGTTCCCACCAGTATTTCTGGACCACCCACCTTGCGTGAAGCGCAAAAGGCTTTGGAGGTGGTCGTGCGCTATTTTGAACATCAACCAACAAGGCTAAATGCACCAGAACGCGTGCTACTTGGAAAGCTTACAGAGAATCTTGATCCGGCCAGCAATCAGATCAGTATGTTTTCTGGAGAGCACGCATCTTGATGAAGGCACGACCTCTGGGCCGCGGGATTAGCTCTTGCGCGAAGCTGATGTATATCGTGTCTTGCGGCAAGTCCAAGGGTCTGCAGTCCCTGTTTTCCGTGGGGCAATTGACCTCGAGAAGACCTACTTCCTCTATGAGGCTGGGCAATTCGGCATATGTTGCTCATGGGTGGGGTGGGAAGTCTACCGGCAGTCTCGAACATATGCGGTTATTGTATGCTATTGAGATTAAAGAAGAATACAGTTTTATTGAGGCTACCTTACTCAGGCTACTCACCCCTCTGCTCAGGCTGCTCAGGGGGGTGCTCAAGTCTACGCAGTGTGCAAAAAGCGGCGAGAGGTGAGCACTAAAACGGAAAGGGAAAGCCTTCGACTTGTCTAGAAAATCAAGTACATATGTACAGCAACAGTACTCCGCGTGGACTCCATATGTACTCCGTGCTCTGTGTGCATGTATGTAAAGCGAAAGTATGCATTCATGCATTGCATTGCATTGCCTCTTGACTTGACCAAATCAATTCAGGTGGCATGACATTCGTCGTTCGTTAAATGGAAAATAACAAATAGGTATATGGATGACGGACACGCAACCCAGAGTGTATGTAAAGAAGAAAAAGGAAAACGCCGGCTGAAAATATCCAAAAGTCGCTGCGTTAGATATAAACAAAGAAGGCGTAGCGTAAGACTCAACCCGAGGCCGAGAAAAATAAAACAAGAAGCGGGGCATAAGACGTAAGATAACCGGAGTATGAATGAATGAGAAAGTTCAACCAAGTTCAACCATTATTATACCCATTCACCACATTATCAACATTAACCATCGGCCGTGGGCGAATCCCAAATCGCCTCGTCCCCAGACTATTAGCCCTCGAGCGGCTCTGGTTCTGCTGGATGGGCGTGTAACTAGCCGCGATTTTGGACGAGGGCGCGACGATCCTTGTTTGCGAGGGTGTGGGTGCTTGTGCTTGTGCTGGTGTTGATTGTTGGGGTGTTTCGGGGATATCAGCCTCGATTGGTGTTGTTGAGGAGAAGGTGGAGAGGCCGTAGCGGCGGGATCCGGATTGGATGTTTGAGCGGGACGTCGTGGGGGTGTGGGAGATGAAGCTTCTGCGGAGGGGGATGGCGGATTGGGAGAGGTTGGGGGTGCGGGGGACGGATTGTGGTTCTTGTTGTTGTTGTTGCTGCGCGGTGGGTGTTGGGCGTTGGTGGGTTGGTGGTGGTGGTTGTTGTTGTGGAGTTTGCGGTTCGCGGGGTGAGTTGGGAATGGACTGGGATGAGGTGAAGCTTTGCGAGAGGCGTTGTCGTGCTGCTAGGCGGCTTGGTTGTGTTGCTGGCGTCGCAATGGTCATGGCTCGGGAGAGGGTGCGGTTGTGGGAACTTTCGTTCTCTGCGTTCTCTTCTTCCGGTTGTGCTCTCCGTGTCCGGAATGATGTCGATAGTCGATTGAGTCGGCTTTTAGGAGTAGAGGTAGTTGTTTGTTGGGGTTCTGGTTGGGGTTCTGGTTGCGGTTGTGGTTGCGCCGGTGGTGCTGCTGGTGTTTGTGGAGGTTGTTGCTGCGGGATCGGCTTATCAGGAAGTGGAGGTGGGTCGTCTTGGTGATAGCTAGGACTGTTTCCATTTACCATACTCGCGCGACGAGATTCCAATCGACTGGCAACACGGGCACTGCTCCGTCGTCGGATGATTCCCTCTGGTTCGAAAGTCTCTCTCCGCTGGAGTGGAAGTGTAGGGGTTGATGGCTCAGGGTGGGTGTGGCCATTCTGCTGCGGTACCCGAACGGTTTCTTCCTGAGCCGTTGGTTCGTGTTGCTTGACGTAATCATCTGATAATGCGAGACATAGTTCTGTCAATCCCCGACATACACTGTCCGCCTTCCGTCGGGATTGTCTGTCGGATGGATTGTACCCGTTGATCACGGAAGCGCTGCTCGACGGAATAGAACCGGAGCCCAGAATGGTAGATAAGGCTGTCGCATCTGTCGCAGTTGCTTCCAGGGTTCTGTATACATCATTGCCGAGCACAGTTTTGGATTTGGCCAGCGCTGATTGCAAAAGAGGATGGACTGGGTTGGCCGGCGCGGTATCAGGTTCGGCTGAGGGGCCACTTTCCTTGCGACGATGGTTAGGCGACGAGGACAGGGTAGTGGCCGTGGTCGCTGCTGTTCGAGGTCGTTCACCTCCCGAATTCGAAGCAGAAGACATGGCGGCTTGCGACGACGGTGGTAATTTGCCGGTTAACTCGAGTTTGCGGATGCGGGACTTGAGGTCCTCCAGTTCATCCCACACGGTGGACGGCGCATTGGTAGAGAGAGTAGACTCCGTTCCATCTTGGCGGTTCTTGTCCGGGTATTCGACGCGGACACGCTCAGTGGTCTCCGATGAACTGGGTAGACGACTACTACGGATAGTCGATAGTGCGGGGTTGGGGTAGATACGAGGAGGGTCCTGCCATGAGGCCCGCCTATCTGCGCCGGAGGAGGTACGCGGGGAGGCATCTGGACTGGCTCGACTCAATCTGCTTCGTGGCAAACCGATGGAGGATCGAGAACTGGAACCGACAGCGGCATAGCGCGTGCGGGAATGGTCTTCGAGAGGGTGGGCGGATGCTGAAGAATGCGGGTACGACACGGAACCATAGGTGGCATGAAGAGGAGAACGCAAGGGCGCATGCGAATTGCTGGATCGTAATTGTTCGGGAGAAGGGGTGTTGTCATTGCTATGTACACGGGAGGTTGGGGATCGCAAGGAGCCACTAGAAAGACCGAGTCGGGACTGTAAATTGCGATCCTCGTTAGCGATTCAAAATTTTTTTCTTCCTTGGGGATTTACGACCTACCCGCCTGAATTCTGAACGAGCTAAAGAATTGTGACGGTCTGGATCTGATCTGGCGATATTGAGAAAGATGTCTTCGCGCGAAGTGTTGCTGGTGATGGTTTCGTCGGGGTCCTGCGCCTGTTTATCGACGCCATTGAGGGCGCGACTTTTGTCGGCTGTGAAGGAAGGACGATACGGCACATAGGTCTGCGTAGATGTGGGCATAGTGTTTTTCGCTGAATCTTGGAAAATGACGGCGGATTGTCTTCGTCGCTTGGACGCATTGGGATTCAACGCGTCGTCGCCAGGGGATTCGACCTCGCGCGGTCGGGGGGAATGAAGACTGTTCTGGTTGAGCGTGGACAACGGAGACTGGAAAGACGACTTTCGAGAAAGCGCAGCGATGTGGGGGAGGCTGAAGTTGGGGACGGATCTCCGGTGCTGAGGGACATGGACCGGGGCAGTGGTGCTGGAGTTGCTTATGGTGCGCCGGGGAGCAGGATGATGAGCGGCGGCGGCGGCGGCGGCGGCGGGGGAGGAGGAGGAGGAGGAGGAGGAGTGTTGTTGGGCGCTGGCAGTCAAGGCTCGTTTGCGCAAAGGAATATGATATTCGAAATTGAACTGGCCCTGAGGAAGACGATTTGGCGACGAAGAGGTAGACGAAGACGAGGAGTGAAGATGACGGAGAGCAGGAGAAAATGAAGAGGTCGAGGCGGGCGGCTCCATCGCAGGGCCGGAGTCACGGGGATCGGCCGCCATAGAAGTTAATCCTCTACAGCTGTGGGCGAGATATTCGGGTGTTTTAATGAGATGAAGACAAATTCACGGATTCAGGGGAGAGATGAGAAGCAGCCGTCGCTTTTTATCGTTGTAGCCCACGCAGCAGGGTGAGCCCATGCGAAACGGCCGGCTGGTCATAGACGGGCTGTTGGGTTGGACTAGGGCCGTGTTTGTGTCGGGGGCGCGTGTGGTTGTTTTGTTATGATATGCGCTGGTGATAGTAATAGTAGGTGAATATGACACCGTTTGCATTTGTGTTTGTGGATGTCTCTAATACTGTCTGGGCCGTAATTGGACATCGGGCATCCGACAGTGCAGATTTGACAGAATTGACAGAAAAGCACAACGCGAATAAGCGAAGCGAATTACCAACAGTGGACTACGGGTAAAAATCAAGCAGGAAATCTTCCGGGGTTGCGCGCAGGAAAAAAATAGAAAAAGGCGTGGCTGGGAGGCTTAAGCATGGACCTCGCACAGACAGTGACTTGTCAGACTAGATTCAGGGTTGGAAAGATCGAGTCGATAGAGTCAGTGAGAGTACAGAGTACAGGGTAGAGAGATATATATAAACAAAAGATCCATGGTTGTCAGTGGTAGTCCCATGGTTGTGGATATTATAAGCGGGAGAGATATATCCATATCAGTATCAAAGCGAGGCAATCATGAATCTCAATGACATGGATAGACATGGATGGTCATGAACATGATCTGAGGTGATTCAAATCTAGTCAGGCATCTTATAGCCTCTATATGTAACTATTACTCTCTGCTACGGAATACTTGTACTCATATATAACCTCTATTCCGTACTCTGTACCCGTACCCGTATGCGTACTTAGGTACGTATTCCGGAGTACGCTGGTCTCTGCTCTTGCCACGAGCTGAGCTGGTCGTTTCACATCCGTAAATCAGTCATAGTTTGATAAGAAAAACCCTTGAGCTCATACTTGGTACATAGGGTACTTCACTAGGGTACACTAGGTCACTACTCCGGAGTAAGTCACTAGGTCACTAGGTCACTAGGTCGCTAGGTCTAGGTCACTACCCCTCAGCTGAAACACGGCGGCTAACAGCGTCGCATTGATTAGTACTCCGTACTCCATTTCCAACAGGTTCAATTTCTTACTCGCATCAACTCCATAACTCCATAGAAACTCCACCCTCGGTCCAAGCTCCGTAGGGATATTCCCCTTCACCTCCATATTGTGATGATACTATGATTTCACCGTTATTTCTGCCGCTATGAAGACTCTGACGCCATTCCACGTGACTCGACTGTTTCAGGCTAAAAAAGATTGACCCACTTGGCGTCAGCGCTAAATACACTATGGTTTCAGACCTCAGGAGGAGTTACGCTGTATCGTACTGTATGGTATTGTTGCAACGGACCGTGCAGTGCTGCAGTCGATGCCGATTTGGATTGCATCCAGGTCCTGACTCAATTGAGTTTGTCCTTGCGTGGCAGGAGCATGGACGAGTACTTGTACTATATAAGAAGGAGCGTCTTTGTGTACAGAGTATGAGTGCTCAGTATGGTCACCACCACTACTACTACTACCTCTACCACAGATACAAGTACAAGTACTTGTACCTCAAGTACCGTAATACCGTATCAAAGTCTGTTGCCTCTTTCAGCGCCAAGTGGACCTCCATTTGTTGCATCGCACAGGCCAAACAAAGTTCTCCAGATAGGAGAATAGTACTCTGTATCATGATGTGCATTTTCTGTATTTTCTAGACTTTTTCTCCCTTTCTATATTCAGTACTATCTATTCTATTCCAGTTCATAGTCCTAGTTGACAGAGCATTCTATACCATATCATGAAATACTCTGTACATACATACCGTACGAATTACAACTAAATATAGCACACACCCATGGATGGCTCGCTGCGCCCCACTCCAATTGGCTCCTGGGCGGTAGGAGCGGCTCTCTTATTGGCTCCCCTCTCTTCCCTTTCCCCACCACATAGCCCCCCCACTGCTCGATAGCCAATTACGGATGGGCTCAAACGAACTGGTCCGTATTCTTTCTGTAACAGCATCTGCTTCTCTTTCTTCGCCTCTCTCTTCCTTCCTTCCACACACTCTTTCGCTCGCTCGCTCTCTCTCTCTCTCTCTATCTTTTCTTTTTCTCTCTCTTCACTGGTTGTTTTCTCTTCTTCTCTCTTCTTCTCTTCTTCTTCACTCCCTCTGTTCTTCTTTTTGTGATTTTTGTTTTGATATTTTCCATTCACTCCCGGCTACTCCCCAACTTCTCGTGGGCAGTCGTCGTTTTTATATTTGCCTCTTTATCCTCTCTGATTATATCACACCTCTTCTGTATACCCCCCCCAATTTTCTGTCCCTGGAGGACGACTGCCCACAAATCCAGATTCTCAGAGAGAGAGATTTCTGGCAGTGCTTGGTATGTTCGGCTCTTGTTGATGCCGTCTGCTTTGCTGCTCTTTTATTTTTATTTTTATTTTTATTTTTTTTTGTTGTTGTTTTGCCATCGTTTTGATTCTTATGAGACCTCCGGTTGCTTCAGTCTCACTCCTTGTTGCTCTTTGCAGAAGTTGAACATACAGAGAAAAAAAAGAAATTTAAGCATGGACGCTGATGCTTTTCCTTCGTCCCTGTCCAAAAGGTCATTTGCGCAGGTAGCAAGTGCAACTCTGTCTTGTCTTCATCTTTCTTCTCGATGCAACAATAACGTATCCATCCTGGCTCCCGCGTTCCATCACGACGGCTGTGATACTGAACGGGTCTTGTTGTCGCCGTTCAAGCGCAGGACTATTCGAAAATCTCCTTCCGCCCCTCTACCAACACCTTCCACCACCATGCCCATTCAGACCAGCGCTCCGTCGCATCCTGATTCTTTCCCTTCCTTCATGTCGGTCTTTGGTGGCATCTCTTCTCGCTTCACACCTGAAAAGGACGAAGGCCCTGCGCCTCTTCAACCATTGCGGGTACCCTCCTCTCATGGATCCGCTCCTCATCTCTCTCGACGTCCACTTCCCTTCCGTCACCGCGAAAGCGTCTCGTCCATGACCTCCGGCTCAACCGACTCTTCTCCTACAACCACTGTCTCCACCTTTGATTCTCCTTCTGCTCCCGATACTTCCCCAAGCTCCTCTCCAGAGTCGCCGTCTTCGATGCCCTATCCTCAATTCATGCAGCCCGCACACTGTGGCGAGCCGAAACCTGCGCAGCCGACGCAATCACAGTCGCAGCAACAGAATGAATCGTTAAAACCGTCGGAAGCTTCCAAACCAGTGCAACCGGAGTCGCCCAATCGACGAGCGCGCAACCTTAAAAACTTGTCGCTGAGAATGCCCCCACATTTGGACTCGTCGCGCCCGCCTATTGCAACCGCATCAATTGTGGAAACGACTTCGCACCACTTCTCTGCACCTCCCTCGCCCGTTATCCCTCCCAAGACTGGTCGACGCAAGCCGGCGGGCCTCACCATCCGCACTCCGGGATTCGACAAGTCCTTTTCCGAAAAGATTACCGAAGTCGTTCCTCCGACACCCTCTTTGCGACACGCTGAATCATCGCCTTCTCTGCATTCCGTTTTCTCCCCCTCGTTTGGCCCCAAAGGTGGCATGCAATTACCTCGACCTGTTACCCACCATGGCGTCCGACGACCCTCTGAAGGTGGCTTCACTACTCTCCAGACGGTGCCGGATGAGAATTCGCATGCTGGTGGGGCCCTGCATGATCTGCAGGAAGAGGACGACCATCTCGACTCGAGAGAGTCGCTTCAAGGGAAGGAGCGAAGCTACCCGGATGGGCCCATTCGCATTTATGACTCTGGCTTGTACTTGTATCTGGAGCCGACCGCCCAGGAAGCGTCGCAATTCGATGTGATCGTGAACGTGGCCAAGGAGGTTGCCAATCCGTTCACCAAGAGCCCAGACAGCGATACGGTCATGAGCGCATGGCGCAACAACATTTCGGCCGCGGCAGGAGAACAGCATATTCAGAATGATAGCCACATCCAGTCATCCAAACCCGAATACATCCACATCTCCTGGGACCACAATTCGGAAATTCTCGACGATTTGTACCCATTATGCGAGCTCATTGACTCACGCATCTCCGAGGGCAAGAAAGTGCTCATCCATTGCCAACTGGGAGCCAGTCGTTCGGCCTCATTGGTAATTGCCTACGGTCTGTTCAAGAACCGCGACATGGACTTCAACTCGATGTATGAGATGGTCAAGGCGCGCAGTCGTTGGGTGGGTCCCAACATGAGCCTCATCTACCAGTTGACGGACTTCCGTTCCCGATTGATCCGTGGTACACTTTCGAAGAAGTCCCCGGAGGAGTGGTCTCTGGCATCGACTCCCAAGAGCGAGGCCCCGGCTCCTAGCCTTGCCGCTTCGCCGGTCCTTCCGGATGGTCAAACCACAAACCATGGTCCCTCCCTTCCACCGGTGCCTTCTCTTTCCGTTCCGAGTGATCAGAAGGCGCTTCGTCCCAGCAGCCCGGGCTTTTCCAAGACCCTTTCGCACAAACGAAGTCTGCCTCCGCGGCCCTTGCCGCTTCGGCAGATGTACCATACGGCGGAGCCAGCGGAGCGATCTCAACGGCCGCGCACCAGCTACGTGCAACCGGTCAAGAAAGGATCATTTGTGCGTGAACAACCAGACTTATCTTCTATCTTTTCACCTCGCACCACCGAGTTCATGGTTGCACCACTGCCCCGACAGATGGGAGGTATTGGAGGTGTTCTGTCAGGAGATGTGGCAGACCCGCGATCACCACCGGGCAATGAGCGCGTGATCATGAGAAGTATTGATGAATTTCTATAGCCAGGTGTCAAACCTGAGCAACGATTCCATGAATTGCCCCCCATGAGGTGACTTTCGCTTCTTTTCTTTATTATTCACCCACATTCTTTTATTGAATTCTCGACATCAGTGATGACATACATTATTATCTCTCGTTAATCTTTGATGAACTCATGACCAAAGCGGGCTTGTGGTCGTTGATTATCATTCTATCTATTCAGCTACTTTCGTTGCATGCCTGGAGATCCAGCATACTATTTCTTTGCATCTTCCGTTTTTTCTTTTTTCTTTTTTTTTTTTTCCTCAGTTGATTTCGTTTTTCAGTGTTGAACGGCGTCATGGGTCAAAAACACGGGCAGCGATGAACCCGTGCCTGGTAACTGTAATATTAGTGGGACTCTGTCTGCTTCGATTGAAGCTCTGTTTTGGATCTCTCGTTTGTGCATAGATAAAATACCCAATTGCAATTGATCTATGGAAGCGCATACAGTAGTACTCCGTAGTCGTAGGTTTATCTACTCCGATATCAAGTGGGTCCGCTCCAGACTTTTCTACAACCCCTCCATTTTGACATCAATCCAGGCTTCAGCAATGGCAGACCAACCAACCCATCTTCCCCCTAGTGAACTGGGAACGAAGGAATAGTACGCTATCCATCTCTCCTCAAAATCACGATACTAACAACATAGCTGGGAAACCTTCTACGCCCGCACCCTCTCCCACCTCTCCACCAGAAACCAACACCCCTCAGACCCCGATACCACCACCCAGAAACCCGAAAATGAAGACTCAGAAAACGACTCAGACTCAGATTCAGACGCAGACGACGACTCCGACCCCGGCACATCCTGGTTCTCCGAACACAATGCCCCCGAAAAGGTCCTCGATTTCTTGACCGATGATGAGTTTCCGCTCGCGCCTGCCAATACTCTCCCCGCATTGACGAACACAAGATGGAATGGAAAAGTGCTAGACGATCAACCTAAACTTCTCGATCTGGGGACTGGGAATGGGAGTATGTTAGCACTTCTACGGAAGAAAGGAGGGTATACGGGGGAAATGGTCGGGGTTGATTATTCGAGGCAGAGCGTTGAGTTGGCGAGGGAGTTGCAGAAGGGTAGGGGGCATTCTGCCTACCAAGCCGACTCTGATGAGTCTGAGGATGAGGATGAGAATGACCCTCAACCTGAACCTACAGAGGGAGAGCGTGAGCGAGGCACGCAAATCCGCTTCGAAGAATACGACATCCTCAACCCACCCCCGCAAGAAACACTGGATTGGTTCCCGCAGACAAACGGGGGCTTCGATATTGTTCTTGATAAGGGTACGTTTGACGCGATCTCGTTATCTGAGGAGACCGTTGCCGAGAAGCGTGTTTGCGAGCGGTATCCTCCTGTTGTGGTGGGATTAGTGCGCAGAGGCGGGTTTTTGGTTGTCACAAGTTGTAATTGGACCGAGGAGGAGGTTGTTCGGTGGTTTGTTGATGGGACGAGGGGGGAGTTGAGCGTCTGGGGTAGGGTTGAGTATCCACGGTTTAGGTTTGGGGGGAAAGAAGGACAGGGGGTTTGTACGGTTTGTTTTCGGCGTTCTTGATACTATTTACAATGTAGAACGGTTATGTACTGGCAGGTCAGGGCGGCAATGACACACCATCTCTTTCTATTCTCCGGTCCTTCGCCTTCACGCTCGGGCATCCATTCCCGGCGGACTTCTCCGCCATCTTCACTTTGTCCGTTCAAATCCCTCTCATAGATACTCTCAATACTGAATCCATTCTCCAACGCCGTCTCAAAGAATCCCGCGATAATCGCCCGTCCAGTATGAAACCCCGCAACAAACAAGATCTTCCCGCCCCCCACAAGGTTCTTGTGCTGGTCAAGCATCCAAGAACAGTCTGTTGCGATGATGCGGGTGTAGGTGCCTTTGTTGGCGACGGCCCAGTACGATTATTGAATCGTTGATCTTGGTCCAATTGAAGGTACGGGCCGAAATGCCAAGGGCAGCTAAGACAGGGATGAAATATCTTCCTTATGAGGGCTAAAGTGGTTTCATTGGTAGCAGACCCTCCTCAGCTCTTGATTAAGATTTTCTTCCCATGGGAATTTCGACGGGAGGCTCGCTAGTAGTAACATTCAAGCTCAACCTTCACCATTATAACGCATTCAAATGAAGGGTTGCGGCATAATATACGCCAGCGATTTAATCGACTTCGATATAAACCTCGACGCTTCTTGAAGGACACCAGTATTCACTCACCACAACACACCCAAGCAGACTCGAGTCTTGCAACCAAGTAAGTATTACATCTCATCATTCAAACGGTGCTGATAATATAAGCGGCCCGGATTCAGCTTCTCAGTATGCAGCAGTCACTGCTAGCTCATTGCCGCTTAACCAAGCGAGTGATATCCCTAGGGAGTCGACCAACACTAAGAATGACGAAGCTCAAATCCAAACCGGCCAGGGCAGACTTGAACAAAACTTGATTACCGATCAGTTGACTCCTGGTCATGACATTGGCAATGTTATTGTTTCTTCAGACCTTTGGAGTGCAGCATATCGTGAGGCAATTGAGAATCTTAGGCAGGAAATAGACATTGCAACTCTAGAAGGAAAGGATGCCGTGCAGCTATTCAGAGAACTCCATGAGACTGAAAAAGAGACAACTGATGAATCTGCCTTCTCAAGAGGTTTGAGGCATTTTGCGTTTGGCACAAGTACCCCTTAAGAGAATTAAGTTAGAATTAGATCTGGTGAGTTCCCTGACAAACGTGGAACCGACTGCAGCAACGGTTTTTGGTGTGCTCAGAAGCGTGACTGCGGTAAGCTCAGTTTATGAAAACATTACGCGTGCCATTACCCCAAGAGTACTGACTCGGATCTGCGCAGATTGCTATCAGCTTTGCAACTGCTGATTTAGACTTCGCGAAGCAAATTGGGGAAATGCTAGAGCAAATTCCCTACATTGAATGATTTTGACACGCTCGGCCAGAAAGCGGATAGGAAAGATATTCATGAGGTAATCTACAGTGAGTCGTTTGAAAGCCTTTCTAATGTTTCACAGGCACTCGTACTGGTGTACCAAAAGATCCTAGAGTTCTACAAAGTCGCACTCGAAATATTAAGTAGGAAAGGGGTAAAATTCAGGATGCAAATGGTCTGGGAGACTGATCGCCTCCCAAACATTGTCCAAGATTTCTTGAGATATTCCGATACTCTCCGAAAGCTTGTAGAAAAAGCGACGTGGGAGATTGTGGAAGACATCAAAGCCACGTTCTATGATCAAGAAAGTAAGTTTCCGCGCACTTAAAATTGCTCTACTATACATTATTACCCGGCCCTAGTTGCTAGATGGTTAGGTGATGACAAGATCAGCCGCCAGGGTCAATACCACGAGTCTCTGCAAACTTTTCGAGCTGATCAGGCTTGTGAATTCTTACTGGAAAATACCAATTTCACCAACTGGTATGACGGTTCCGATTCTCAGCAGCTGGTGATCCTCGGCGATATGGGCCGTGGGAAAACCGTTGCTATGACATTTCTTGTAGACGAACTGCGTCGAAGAAAGGAATACCAACTACCCCAGCCCATGATATGCTATTACTATTGCTGGGATAACGAGACAGGTAATGCTACCTCTATAATCCCTACTCTGATTATATCACTCCTTCAACAGCTCCCGGGCCTGAAAAAGCCATTTTTTGAGTGATATAAACAGGCTCAGGTTTCTGGAATTTTTAATCCAGCATCAAGCATTAAGAAACTGGAAGAGTTCCTGCAAAAGGTGCTGGAAGCAATTGACCGCCCAGTTTTCGTCATCATTGACGGTCTGGATGAGTGCGATACAGCATCTCGAAACAGACTTCTCAAGTTATTGAAAACTTTATCGCGAAAGATTTCGGGGCTTAAAACCATACTGTCCTCCCGTCCTCAGGAAGAGATCTTGGAACAGCTGGACGAAGCGGCGGCTAGGATCGAACTGGGTCCTGACGTTCAGCGAGATGGCATTATTGTTGACAAAATAGTTGAAAGCAAATTGTCTTATCTATCGATGGATGTCAAGGCACTCGTCATAGAGAGACTATCTCGCTTAGCGCTAGGAAGCGCCATATGGACAAAGATGATCATTGAGCTGATCGAACTCCGCAAAATAAGGGCATTCAATCCGATGCGATACTTTTTGGAAGAAATGCCGCTACCCGGATAGCTCTCAGAGCCCTACGTCACGATATTTTCCCGTTGTACTTCAGATGATCCCAAAAATGAGGAGCTTGCAAGCGCAGCTCTGAAACTTCTCGCCATCGCCCGCAGACCTTTAAGCATACTAGAGCTCGCCTGGGCCGTTGCGTTGGGTGCGGCTAAACATGTTACAACCATCGACGATCTTGCTCAGCTGGTAGACCATCAAAGATTCATGAGTCTTATTCATCCATTCATTACTCAGGTCAACTTTAGTGATGTAAAGAAGCGTCAAGTTCGACTCACACACCAGTCGGTGAAGAAGTTCATCATCGAAAAATGGACTCCTGATAAGCCTGATTCACAAGGTCCGAATCTAACAAAATCTGATCAAATGATTGTTGATCAACGTCTTGAGAGCCTGGAGACATTCATCTTGGATATTTGCACCAGATATCTTCTCTTAGATGATATTGACAATAGAGATCTATTCTCCGCAGAGCAAGTGGCAATCACAGAGCTGCCCCAAGAATTCGACCTATTCAGTGATAACGAAGAGCCGAACCATTACAATCGACATTGCACGTGGGAAACCTGGGAAGAAGATATGATTCGCTACGACCCGATTGAACGTGGCTTTGGTGAGTTCTTCGTCTACGCATCAAGCCATTGGCTGGAACATTTCGGCGCTATCACGGTCGAACCTCTTCCAAGCCTTGCAAGCATAATGAACTTATGCCAAATGGGATCGATCCGATTCCGCAATTGGACTCAACAAAATTGTCGCCCAGGCTGCACGATGACGGCCGGATTTCGATTTGACAGCAGTCTGTATGATCCCCTCAGCATCACTTCGCACTATGGCTCAGGAGCTATGCTACGTGATATGCTTGAGAACTCGGACTTTGATAAGGACAAGTTTCTTCGAAACCCAGCTATGGAGGCTGCTGATCAGATTTTCCAATGGGGCAACATATCAAGGCTCAGGATACTCTTCTTGGATGATAAACTTGGTCATCAGCTACAAAATCTTGGCTTTTTTTCGACTTGTCATCAAAATGTGGAATGACCCCTATATAAATCACCACAACTGGGATCCTGCATTTGACCTCGTCGAATATGTGTCAGATAAGATGGTCCAGGAACAATGGGGAAATGAGCTCTTGTGCGTGGCTGCCGGCGCCGGCTGCATGCCCATAATTCAGCGGTTGATGACTAGCGCTCAGCATAATGCAAAGCTTGGGTGTGAATTGCTGCGGGAGTTCCGACCTGAACAATGGTCAACATTTGGCAAACCAACGCATCAATCGATTGGGGAGGCTGTTATGGGAAACCACATTGATGTGGTAGAATACTTATTGCGAGAGAATGACATCGAAGCCCATCTTCGATACCGAAACTCCCGCGGTGAAAACGTCCTGCATTTGGCATCAAGGCTCTGCAATCCAGAAATGTTCCACCTTTTGATTCCCCGTTTCCAAGAAGGTATCCATCAAGCAAACGATCAAGGAGACACAGCCCTAGTGCGGATTATCGTGAATTCCTCGGCCTCACAAAACCGGTATAACTCGGCGAGAGTCCTGCTCTTACACAGCGACGTCGGCTCAATGTTAGATCAACTTGTAATCCACCATCAAAATCGTGAGCCATCAAACTTGGAACGTAGAATATTGATCTTTGTGCATGGTTATCTATTGTTAGTACTCCTGAATTAGAGCCCACACAGCATGACGAGCCAACATTGCTGGTCAAGCCAACAGCTGAAGGTCTGACTGAAATGACAGTTCTTCAAGGGTCACTTTTTCTCGCGAGGGAGCTACTAATATCATAGCATAATTGATAAGAAATCGTGGTTGACAAACGATAGTTATCATGGCATTAGCATATATTCGTACACGTTTGATATCTACCAATTAGTTAGGCAAGCCCCGCCTTCGAGGGAACTTGTAAGCTTGTGTATTTATTTGCTGATTTATTTATGTTTGTGGTGTGGAGGAGCATCGTCATTCTATGCAGATGAACTGTTTGCATTGTTTGTTTTCCAGATTAGATTAGATCAATGGATCACAGTTGAATGGAAAAAGCACCCATGATTTACTTACGAGATGGGTTAAATTCTCTTATTGATTCACTAATATATCTTTTATGGGTCGATGGGGTAGATATGCCCTAACTATCTTGTTTGGTACCTTGTTATCTACTGTTTTTAGTACCTATAGTGCATATGTATAAAAGACCATTACTCTTACCTATTTACGTTGTACTAAGTATTTGTACAAGTACAGTGAAGTACTTGTTGTCGCGTGTTCCCAAAAAAGAAGTTACGGTATGGTAATAAATAGCGCTGGGCATGTATTAATGACATCATCGACCTAGACCGGTCGATAACCGGGATTTAGAGGATTTAGAGGAGAATAAAGAAGAGTACAAGTATGTAGGAAGAATAGACATAAAACATGTATTACTCTGTAGAGAAAGAAAGAGAATAAAACGATACATACTTGTAAGTAAAGGAATAAAACATACATGATACAGGCACAGTCAGCTGCAGGGCTCGTGATCTGACCCCTGTCTGTGTGCGCCTTGACAAATATGCACAATACAGAGTACTTGTACAGACATGCTTGTCAGTATACAAGCAGTAGTAGAGAACAGAGCGAGAATAGAATACTTGTAGAAGAGTATTGTAGAATAGTACCTACAAGTATATAGCAAATAACAACCCCCGTATACTTGGGCTACGACTCTTTTGAGTGGGCCAGATGGCATCATTATTGTTGGTCACTTTCTTTCTTTTGTCTTTATTCTTTTTCACCTTTTTTTTTTTTTTTTTTTTTTTCTCCCTCTCTCTCTCGCTTTCTCTCTAACTTTCTTCTTCTTCTCCTCTCTAATACAGAGAACTTTTCTCAGAGACACTCTGGTCGCAGTCAATCCCCGCACACTCAATTTAATCACTCAGCAGCTCCCCCCCCCCCCGCAAATCCTCCTTAGAAACTCTCCTGCTGAACTCCCGACACTTTTTTCCACTGGACACTTTTTCCTACTTTCTACACCACCGCACTTTCGACACTCTCTACGCTCTATTTACCGCTATTTCACGCTCCGGAGCAGCAATTCTCTCTTCTCTCTTCTCTCCTCTAGTTCTCGCTCTCTTTTACTATCCCCGGACAGCCAGCCAACTCCCGGCAGGGCTGCCCGAGTCACCATGGCTTCTTTCAAGGTACCGTCAATATTCAGCAACCCATTATTATCTTCTCAGTTCTAATACGTTGTCTCTACTGCTAGGAACACACTCTCTCGCGTCCTCTCCCCCAATCCTCCCAACGACACCACCACTCCCACTCCATGTCCCTCGGGGCCGTCAATCCAAACCACCGCGTCACTCGTCGTAAGAGTGTCACCACAGCTACTGTTACCAGTGCTGCTGCTGCTGCCGTGGCTGCTGCTACCGTCAAGGACCCCAGCAGTGGTGATTCCGCGGGTGTTCCCATGCCTGCCTCTGTCAACCGTCGACCCTCCGGCCGCAAGCCTCTCATGGAATCCTCCTCGGTCGGACTACCCTCCGGTTTCACCGCGGCCACTTCCTCACCTTCGTTTTTCTCTCGGAGTATGAACAGTCCTGGTTATCAAGATCCTTCGGTCGCGGGCAAGCTTTCGGTCCCGAACCAATCCTCTCTTGCTCCGAATGCTGGCTCCACCGCTACAAACACTCCGCCAAATCCATCGAACCTCTCTGCTTCCTCTTCTAAGAATCGAAGCCGCCGTGTCAGTGAAGGTGCTCCCCCGACTAGAGAAGGAAAACGTTCCTTGGTCGAACTTCGCTGTGAACGTTGCGGGAAAGGGTACAAGCATGGCAGCTGCTTGTCCAAGCATATGTGTGTATCCCCTTCCCACAATCAATCCACGCTGTCCTGCCGGTTCTCGGAGCATTGCGCCATGTTGGCTCTGTTAGGTCGCCCTCGTGGTTCCAGCTCCTACTCCTTTAGATACCTTCCCCCCCCCCCCCCTTTTCTCCCCGTATCCTACCCTCCTGGACTCCCGGTTGACGTTGGTTGAAACACATTAGGTGGGAACATGACCCGGCTTGGGCTGTTACCTCGAAGCTATTGATCTCCAAACATCAGCAAGTTCAACTCTTGGAAGCTGCTAGTGTTCTCGTCACTATGAATGATGGCCCAGAGGAATCGGAGTTATCTTCCGCCTCACCCGACGCGTCTTCGGAGCGTCGTGAAGGTCTCAGTTCCGCCGATACCACGCCCCCTCCCATGGAGCAAGATATGGAAGAGGATGAGGAAAGCGAAGATGACGAGGATGACCTGGAAATGTCTGGCGTATCAACCACCGCAGACAAGCGATACGATGTTCCCCGTGCCAACCGGAATCCCTCCGGTCTTTTCTCCCACTCCTACCAATCCATTCCGTCGAGTTCGTTCAATGAGAGTGCTCCATTGCACTCACCGTCATTTGCCAACTTCCGACACTCGAGCATCGAGACGCGACCTTCGACGGCAAACACGAGGTTGCATGACGACGATGAGGCAGACTTGGCCGCGGCTATTGGACTCTGCAACTTTGGCACCCCACGATCGCGTCCTGTGGCCATGTCGCCCAGCATTCCCCCGGTGCCTTCGCTGCCAGGACGATTCTTGGATCCTGGCAACCAGAGTCAGAGCTTAGACCAGTCCCGACTCCCCGGAGCCGACACTGCCATCCCTGGATCCATCCCCGGGTCCATCCCGAACTTCCTGTCCGTATCCTATAACCCATCTCTTTCCTACAAGGTATCCGATGAACGGGAAGTCCGGACAGGCGATACAGACCGCACATCGCGGCAGAACCGCAACGCAGATGTCGACTTCGGGAACTGTCCGACGCAGGACGATGATGACGACGGCGTTTTTGGCCTAATGGAGGAGTAACCTACCCCCTTCACCTATCTCTTTCTAAGAGCTGCAACAGTCAGCTGCATAATGACTCTACGAGCTAGCCTCTTGCTTTCCTTTTTTGTTTTATCCCCATTGATGCGTATTTGGTTGCATCATTGCAGTCCCAGGTGAACTACCCAGCCGTTGACGTTGGTATCATTCTGGAACTTTGCTTTTACATATTACAAGATGGACTGGCTTGGAATTATACGGTCCATCCAAGTATATTATTATTAGTCCTTCCTTCTGTTTCCTTTGTTTCCAGCCACCATGTATCATTTGAATTTCTACATAACCATCATGGCCAGCGTTTGACATTGATATATACACCCTGACCTTGTATACATGCGTTGCATGTACCTCTGGTCTCTGTACTTGCTTGATAGCAATGGAGATATTGCATATTTAATGTTGCACGGATATACATATGTAGTGCACAGCCCTATTTTTTTTTTTTTTTTTTTTTTTGCGAGTAATATAAGCAATTCGGTTCATTTTGGCGTTGTACAACGTCTAACTGGAGAACGGTTATGTTCCGAGATTTTTCTAGTTTATCTTTTCCAGTCTATCTAAAATCTCGTTTTAATCTGGACTATGTATCAGAAGTACAAGGAGGTGCCCCAGGCTGCCTGACACTTGATCAAAGCGAGCCTCGAAATTGATGGCTTGTACGAAACGGTTCATGTAGAGGCTTTCTGTCACTGTAAACCTAGCAATGGAGGTACTAGCATATCTACGCTACATAGGATGGACTGTGCAATAGGAAGGAGGTCTGGGGGATGTGTGTATAAAAGGATAGACGGGGGGGGGGGTGTGTACGAAGGTACGATGCCAGAGGTTTAGAGCTGACAGAGCTAGATCAACGACGATTCAGGGACAAGGTTCCAGGCAACGACCACCGCCATGATCCCTGTATTCAATTACAGACCATACCCAGATGAGAAGCGTCCCATCAGGGTGACACCAGCCAGGGAATCATTAGTTTCAGCACTAAAATGATCATGATAATGGCTGTTTCTTGGTGGAGAGATGATTTAAACCATTTTGCTGCTAGCAAACGTTGTGCTTGTATTGGTCTGGAATAAGGCTAAGTATAAGCTCTGTGTCTTGATTGATAGTACTGTTTAGTATGTCCAATTTGAAGGATTAGAAGAACTGTTGCATTTATGAATGAGGATAGAGTATCTAAAACATGTAGGTCGAACTATTGCTGCTGCTTATGGTAGAAATGATGATGATAAGTGGTCAACTTCAAGGCAGTGGTAGATACGCATATCCCAGCGATGTTGCTGATGAGCCTGTATATGCTCCAAGTCCCCGCTCCTCCTGCTCGACCTTGAAACTGAACCTGCGGCCACGATGCCAGATCCGCCATCACTTAACATTCCAAGACACCGTTGCATCCACCACGAACACACTGCCTGGGCATTGAGTCTGCTATTGATTGAACGACGCGGATGGTCCGATCTTTCAATCAGCCGGGCCGCACGTAGTCCGGTTTACATTTGCTTGCGTGCAAATTGCTTGACTTTGGTGTATCCTCTTTTTTGCTTGGTGGGTTCGTCTATGTGGTCTAGGTCTTGGAAGGTGAGTTTTCCGTCGTTCGACCGGTGGAAGAGAATGGCGTATGGCGGGATTTCGTTTGTTTTGAATTATTCCAGAACCAGGGAGGGGCTGGATGTGTCGAGGAGTCGCATTGTGTATTGCTGGGAAATGGATGTGGTGCAGGATGTGATAGAAGACATTCAGTTACAAGACCGCAACCCCTGTTTCTTCCTCATTGGCATAGCAAAGAGCTTAACTTGTGAATAATGAGGATTATAAGCAGCCGTGCCATATCAATATTCCTTGTAAGCGTACAAGGCCTAGTCGATATCTGACATCGAGCAGCGAACACACGCTATGCCCGAAATGGCAAACATAAGGACGTACTTCTTCTATTTAATTTCCTTTCCACTCAAACAATACGTTCCTTGAGATATCTAATGTAAGGGAATGTTCCAGTTTTCTTTCATATAATGTTTTTTTGACAGTGTGATGATGGATGATGTTCTATAGTCAATCAATGAAAGCACAAATGCTCTGGATTTCCTATTGCTTGATTTTGATACAGTCTTTCCCAATCAGAGGCGTCATCATATGTCATTTCGCACGATGACACTGGACTTATGTACCTCAGCAGACTACTTCGGAGCAATGGTACGTTAAGCCCGCTTGACTGTTGGAGGGACTCTCCCCGGATGTTAAAGCTGCGTATCTAAAGCTATTATGAGTGCGGTGACTATTAGCTAAACGGAAAATGCTCCGAGCAAAAACTATAGCGCAAAGAAGCGTCCGGGTCGGCTTTGTCAAGCAATTCGGAATCATTTGCCGCAGCTTTGACTCTGATAGTTCCCGTGGTTCCCTTGGTCATTTCTATCTATAAAAAAATAAAAATAAAAATAAAAATAAAACCACCGCACCATGCCATATATGGAAGGCACTAGGTGTATCTTACCAATAGATAGTTAGGCCAGGTATATTTGCTGTGAAGTATACTCTAATTATCGAAATTTCCACGAATTGTCCATCCAACTAACGACAACCCAAACTGTCAACAATGTCAGCCCATGTGAAAAGATTTCCATTCGCCAATACGGACATTCGACAGGCTGCTTCTAATTGACAGGTGCGTATGAAAGCCGCGTAACACTGTGCTTTGTCGATCGGCAAGGCTGGGATCCTTGGGCTGCAATCATTTCGGATCTCCGCATCTGTCTCTGCATTGTATTTGCATTATACTATTCTCGATCTTGACGGAATCTGCGTACACAATGAGCTTTGGATATATTGTGGCGTTGGGGATATCTTGACCACGTTGAAGCTCGCTGATGATGTCAAGAAGCGCTTCTCTCAAGCGTTCAAGGTCGTTTTAGATGAGTACGATCACGCTGCTGTCAGCGCGCTAGATCGGAACATGCCACCCAAGGAAATACATTGCACATCATGCGACTCGCCTTTAAAGGTAATTACGAGACAGCCATCACAATAGCAGTAGTGCTTGATCATGGCACACGCTGATAAGACAAACACTCTTGGTCAGACTCCACTTTATGCAGCTACGGAGAATGGATGAGATTTTGTTGGTTGCAAGGGATGCGCATCTTTATTGTGGTCTGGCTTAGCTGCATTCGATCTCTTGACGTACGCTGCCATGAATGGCTAACGACTGCTTTATCTTACCTTTTCACACTAGTGATCACTGACGCCGTCACAATTGCTCTTAGTACATCGGATGCTGGGGTGTTAAGTACTGGACAATCCGATGAAGCGATGAGTTTAAGCCCTATTAGCCCGAATACAGCAGTACATCGATGTGTGGAAGCGAATGCCGATAATGGTAATATTGATAATAGATAGATGATCGTAAGAAAAGAGCGAAGGACGAAGTATAGGGGAGGGGCCCATGGCCCGACCATGAGAAAACACGAGTCCAAGCGAACCAATCAGATGGCGCACTATCTATAGGCTAAGTCAACCTCACTCCGACACGATGCCTTTCGCCTCCCACATAGATACCCAAATGGCTTATACGGAGTACGGGTGTCTTATAACATAGAATGTTATTGGTATTAAGTCAAAAAACTCTCACAATAGCAACCTGAAAGGTATGCGACTAAATTAGGGCTAATGTCGCCAGCTGACGAGGCTACTTCCAGTTCAAGACCATTAACACGGGGGATAGATCCGTCGTCCCCTTTCCGTTTCCTCTACGGTCTGTCTAGGTGGCATTTGCATATGCAACTAACAGTCCCGCTAGAACATGCTACACAGCGGCCTGGACCGGAACCCAAAAAATATGTACATACATACCGCGAGTCTCTTCTTATTTCTCATCAACCATTCGTTTCCAGGGAAGAATTAATGCACAGCCTGAACGATCTTCATATCTAAACAATTCATGACACCCCATTAGTCCCTTCGCGCATCATGTTATATCCAGAGAGATAAATACCGGAATGAGGGCGACAGACACGTATATGGACCATACAGCTCGCCAAAGTTGTGCGGGCTTCGCACTTGTTATAACTCTGCATCCATATCAAAATTTTCTCTCTGTAGGTCTGAACGAGAATGAATCACGGCCAGTCCTCGTCCCGCGCCTCATCATGTCACTGTAAATCTGTGAGTTGTCGCGCCGTGTATGTATGGACTAATGTGCAATGCATGCTAGGCCGGAAAAATGCCTCATGTCAAGGCTAATAGTTACTCCAGAGAAGTCGAGAAGAAGCAAAATGAGAATCCCCGTGACAAGCCATGTTCGGAAAAAGATGTCATCAAAATGCAGATGCTCGAACGTCGGATATAAATGTCATTGCAAGAGTGCGCTGATCGGTACAAGTGTGCCCGATAATAGATGAGGAGTTGTTTTCTGTATGGCGATGCGCGCAGCACTGGTGTAAACATGGTTTGGAAGCCTGCTTTTTGAAAGACATATAAACCTTTCCATCTGAAGGGTATCAGAGAAGCCTGCATAGCAATATTCTTTTTCATTGCATCACATTACTTTTTTTTCTAAAAGCTTCGTTGCGCATCGTGTCCAAACCGCCTATCATGCCTAAACCGAAGAAAAAACAACTCCTCAGTGGCGACCCCCCCCCCTACCTTCTGAGCGAGTTCCCGCACTGCGGAAAACTTGAATCCTATATTCAACTTCACGCAGAATCGATTGATACTACTTTCAACGACGTTCTCCCCAGTTGTCGCTGACAATGGGGGGTGCAAAGAAGAAAGGGGTGGTTGGAGCTGCATCTCCATGGCCCAACTGCTTGTACAATCATAAAGACCACAATGAAGGCACCCATGCAGCTGCTATTCTCACAGAAACAGCAGAGCTGAAGCAAATTGCTGACTGGACCCAGGGGCTACCCCCCCAGGATCTATTCATCTGGTTTATGAGTTCAGTTGAAGATCTTGCAGCAAAGGTGCACAACTGTGCCAGCAACAATGGCAGTGAAAACCATGATGGCCAGAAAGAAGTACTCCAACATATCCAAGATATGTTTGATAAGCAGACAGAGGAAATGAAAGCTCTACAGTACTCAATGCAGCCCCTGAAAGCAACCAATAGCCCCCCAGCATCTAACCCCTCTGGCCATGCAAACTCTTATCAGGATGCAGCTCTAGCAAGTCACCTGACATCAACAAAGTCCTCTTTGGTCTCAAACTGGATGCAGGGCAATACCAATGGATCCATTGGCACAAATGGAACACTAAGCACCTCTCCAAGCAACCAAGCAACCCCATT